GAATTCCAGTTACAATTCGGATTGCCTTCAACCAAAACCGGATGCCTCTCAATGTCCCCGTCCTCTCCCAGAGGTCTCAGGGCTTGGTTAGTCCCTGGGATTGGCGTGTCCCCACCACCAGCCTTGTGAAGAGCCTCGCTATACTGGATGCCTGACCTGTGTGTCAACACCCAAGCTAGTTGGTTTCAGGAGTGATTAGGAACCATCTTTCTTTTTTCTGCTTTCCTTTTCTAGTTCTTCTTAGGGTGTTCATCTGACAACACTGGCGGTTTACACACGTTTGTGGGTACTCCCGGTGGCAGCTGGATTTTTTTTTTAATTAGAGGGGAGGGAAGGCACATTCCTTTTACTTAGAGGGACTTAACGTTGACATCTCTGAGTTCCTGCCACGTACCACGTCTCACTGTCATCCTCCAGGAAACCCACCATATATGACAGATAAAGATCTTCATCACTGGAAATGCAAAAATGGGAGCTCAGATAGGAATCCTGCCTAAGCCCTAATTTGCTCTGAGCCTTGGTTTCCTTACTCCTTAGTTACTGGATGCTGTTATAACTGAGTCAGATGGTGTGTGGAACCACATGGCCAAATAGCAGATGACTGTCAGGAACTCTGAGATTTTCCCCTGCTGGCAAGCTCACAAGTCAGCCTCCCCTAGTTTACTGGACACTGACAAAAGACAGGAGACTTCTGGGTCAGAGTCAAAGGATGTTATCACCCGTGGTTCACAGGCAGCAGGAACTTCATGTGTGCATCTCTTCCCTTCGAAGTCCCTTGGGACTGACATGGAGTGGGCCAGCTGGATTTGCATCACAAATAGTAGGGAAACTCCCAGATTAGGGAACTCAAGTCGATACTGTCCTGGACTGAACAGTATACAAACCTGCCCTTTGCTTTTCGGAAACCTGAATCTTTAATAATGGGTTGCAAGTAAATCTGTCTTCTTTTCTACTGGGAGATACTCTCTCACTCTTGCAAGGCTGTTTGTTATACAAACATCCTTGACAGGCTGGTCTGAAACAAGAGCTGTCAGTGCCTTTGCTGGCAAAATGTGTAGAAACACAAGAGACTTAAAAGAGACTTGTCTCCCCCAAATAACTTTTTATTTAGTGTTTGTTGAGATTTTACTATAGACCATACATTACACTAGGTGATGGGGACGCTTCAGTGGACGGGACACTCATGTCCCTGCCCTCCTGGAGTGTTGATCGTGACACAATATTCACAATCAGCATGAAGATTCAGAATCTGTGCCTTGGTATCAGAGTGCTTATGAGAATAGTGGGACAGGATATTTGAAATTGGGACTTCATGAAAAGTTCCAGTACATAGTCCCTACATGCACTAGTCCAGTCTAGTGTTATTTGCTTAGTTGTGTCCAACTCTTTGTGACCCCAGAGACTGTAACCCGCCAGGCTTTTTTGTCCATGGGATTCTCCAGGCAAGAATACTGGAGTGGTTGCCATTCCGTTCTCCAAGAGATCTTCCTGACTCAGGGACTAAATCCGGGTCTCCTGCATTGCAAGCAGTTTCTTTACTGTCTGAGCCTTCAAGGAAGCCCCAGGAGATGATTAATAAATGTCAGCATATATTGTCTGGCTGATTTGGTCCTTAATTAATTTTAGATGGAAAAGCCTCAGATTCTATGGAGATGTTTAGGTGAACTCATCTTTTAGGTTGTGTCTCACAGTGGCAGAGAGAAGCCAAATAGGCCTGGAGCCAGACAGATGGGCAGGCACCTTGGTTCTGCTTTGCCCTGCTCATGTGACCTTGCTTGTAGCATCTGATGTCTCCAAACATCTGTGTACTCAGAGCACCTGTCCTGTTACAGCAGGACAGAAGGTGGCAGGTGCTACTGGTTCTGCACCTTCAACAGTCAGTATTTTAACCTTCAGATGAGTGGATTCTAAGAGTCTGAGGCCTTTTAAGCCAGAATGGTCAGTTTTACAACAGGCGTAGAGAGGATTGTCAGGGCTTCTGCGGTGGTTCAGACGGTAAAGAATCTGCCTGCAATGCAGGAGATCTGGGGTTCAGTCCTTGGGTCAGGAAGATCCCCTGGAGAAGGAAATGGCAACCCACTCCAGTACTCTTGCCTGGAGAATTCCATGGACAGAGGAGCCTGGCGGGCTACAGTTCATAGGACCATAAAGAGCTGGAAAGAACTGAGTGAGTGCCACTGCTAGAGAGCATTGTCAGGGCAAAGAGGCTGAGGAGACACCCAACCAAAGAGGAAAGATGGAGAAGCCCAGGGCTGGCCCCAGAGCTGACTGCTGGAGCCCCTAGACAGTTCCCAGGAAGCCAGAGACATTCATTCTGAAGGCATCCCAAGCATAAACGTGATCCTAAAATAGGTTCTGTGTTTTCTCCACCGGCAAATGGAGATAATCGCCTGAAGGTTTGGCGTGAGGGCGGATCAGAGCTAGTCATTACAAGTGTCTGTTTTACAGTGGCTTTTCTGGAATTGTTCTTTGTGTCTTTTGGTTTTCTATTTCTTCGGATGAAAAAAGGCATGCTTGTCCATCTTATAGCAAACCAAGGTCTGACCTCACTGACTTGTTGACTTGGAGGCTGTTCTGGAAAGGTTCCATTGTCTGTCCTGTCCCTCTGCACAGGATGCAGCAGGCTCAGGTGACAGGCTGTGAACACAGGCTCCACGTTGGTGGAGCAAAGCGGGGCTCTGCTGGATGCTGCAGTGGTGGACGCTGATGTGTTTTAAACCTAATTAGTGGATTTGCCTTTTCTGTTTCTCTTCCCCCAGGATCCGTCTGAAGTGAATTGACCCCATGTGTTTACTTTGTAGCATGACAAGGATTTGGAATTTTGTTAAGGGAGGAAGGAATTCAAGTGCCTGGGAGGTCATTGAGGTCAGCAGAAAAAATCTTTTCAAAAGTGCGCTTTAATGAGCTGAATGGGAGGAATGCAAACAAACCACCCACCGCCACGCCTCTCCTGCCCTGATAATATTGTTTCCTGCAAACAATACACTGCTAATATCCATAGGGGATTTTAGGATGTCACGTTTTCTTCCTCAGACTTCCATTATTGGATGCTGGTCATCCATCATGTGAGAATTGGTCAGTATCACCTCTTCTAAAGGGGAGAAATGAGCTTCAGCTCCTACCTGCCTGGGGTGGACCAGAAACCTTGGGATGGCTCATTAAAGAGGGGGTGCCCGCTGGTCTGTGCAGGGTGCGTGTTTGCGGAGCCAGGACTGTGTAAGGGGCAGAGGGGTGGGGGGAGGGACGTGCTGTTGGTCTCTCCTGGAGTCACCTGCCTTTTCCTTCTCTCTCTTGAGTGGCAGGCGGGAGGAGGCTGGGTTTACACTCAGAAAGGAAAGGACTCAACTTTGTCCATGTCACCATGATTATTTCAGGATGACTTAGTGATTTTCCAAATAAATAGAGTGTTGGGAGGAAGTAGCAGAGACGGAGAATTTGAAGGTAGAGCTTAGCGTGAGGAGCCGCAGGGTTGCAGAGATCAGACCTCCTGGGTGCCTTCTAAGCTCCATCCTGTGCCAGGTGAGAGGAACCCGGGCTCCTCCCTTGGTGCCTGGAGGCCGGGTGGATCTCCTGATGGCTGCTGCCAGCTGCGTCTGGGAGAGAAACGAGCTGCGGTCCTTGCCTGGGAGCCTCTTGCCTCTGTGTTTTCTCTAGCATCGTGGCTGGCAGCATTCTGGAAAGGAAGAGACACGCAGGTGAGGAGCGTGTGGTTGAAACGATCAGTCAACGTGGCATCTGTTTCCTAGGCTCTGACCGGGCGCCAGGTGGTGCCGCCAGGCAGGTGCTATACCAGGAAAGCCCAGCCTGCTGTGGTTCAGCTTGGGCCAGAGGGGCACCTCATGTGACACCCGTGATCGCACACACGGCTACAAAGGAGGGGAACGTGGTACCAGAGCCCAGAGAGACGTGACTGAGTTTAAGGGGGAAACGGGGCTGCTCTGAGCGGCTGGTGGACTTTAAGCTGAGACTCAAGAGGCAGATAGGAAGTGGCCAAAGGCTGGGGGTGAGAGGGTGGAGAGCAGCCAGAGGCTCCTTAAATGGTAGCTAATTATCACCACAAGGTCACTTACACTTGGCTTATTTTAAGCTAGGCAATACAAAATTATCTCCTAATTTAAAGTGAATCCACTTCACACAGTAATCATATAATTTCTTGCAATATTGATGGTTACAGGCGACCTGCCTCTCTGGCTGTGAACTTTGTGAGGGGCAGGCCTGGGTCTGTTCCATTCAGGGTCCGGGTCCCAGCCCCACCCCCGTCCATGAGTACTGAGCTGTGAATGTCTGTGGCAGGGGCTTGTGCTGGGCACCCACACACATTCCCAGTGCTCATTCACGATGGCCTTGTGGCGGGGAGGGGGCTTGGTCACCCGGCTTCATACAAGGAAATGGCATGGCCAGTGGGGCTGGAGCTCAAGCCAGGGTCTGACGCCAAGGCATGTGTTCTTAAGTGCCTCCCCCGCCCCCCTTTGTAGATCATATTATTATTTGATTGGGATTCCCTGGTGGTTCAGATGGTAAAGAATTATTTGTTCTAATATCTGACATTGCGGGGACCACCACCACTCTCAGTCCCTGAAGAACCTTCAGGACATATTTTAACCTACGGTTTCAAGAACTTTTTCACCTAGCGTTAATGTTTGGTGGTGGATTATGGCATCAGGTGGGCTTCCCTGATGGCTCAGGGGTTAAGAATATATCTACAATGCAGGAGACACAGGAGATGCCTGTTTGATCCCTGGGTCAGGAAGATCCCCTGGGGGAAGAAATGGCAACCCACTCCAGTATTCTTGCCTGGAAAATGCCATGAACAGAGAAGCCGGGCGGTCTACAGTCCTTAGGGTCACAAGGAGTACTACATGACTGAGCACACGCATGTGATGATGAGGGATCAGTGCATCTCGTATGGGGCTGGAGGGGAGGGGCTGGCCAAGGTTGGATGTATTGTATGTCACTGTATTGCATTTTATCTTTGAATTATGCGTTTCCTCTGTTCCCAGGGAAAGGAGGCCCCTCAGGAGGCTGAGATGGTGTGCACAGCCCGCCGCCCCGCGGCAGCCTTTCCGCCGAGCGGAGCCTCGTGGCGGGAGCAGAAGGAGAAGCGGGCGGCCGTGATGGTGGGCATCCTCATCGGCGTGTTCGTGCTGTGCTGGACCCCCTTCTTCCTGGCCGAGCTCATCGGCCCCCTCTGCGCCTGCAGCCTGCCCCCCGTCTGGAAAAGCGTGTTCCTGTGGCTAGGCTACTCCAACTCCTTCTTCAATCCCCTGATTTACACGGCGTTTAACAAGAACTACAACAGTGCCTTCAAGAGCCTTTTCACCAAGCAGAGATAAAGCCAGGGCTTGGAGAGGGGAGGGAACTGGACTTTCTCCCCTTCATTTGTGATCTGGGCCAGAGCCGTCCCACCGCTGAGTATCAATGACAGTTGGGAACCATAGCACTTGGGCCTGGACTGCAGGAGCAGCGAAGCCAAAGGCCCAGCACTTGGGCCTGGACTGCAGGAGCAGCGAAGCCAAAGGCCCTCCAGAAAGACAGAAGGCGGGTGGCAAGTGTGCAGCCTTGCCCTGTCACCGAGTGATGCAGACATTGCTAATCGATCTCAGCACATCTTCCCACCGAGCTGGAACTCAGCCTCAGGATCCTTTCTGGACAGTGCATTCGGCAGTTATTGCTAATTGGCCAGAATTCATGTGGCGCTAGTGGTAAAGAAGCTGCCTGCCAGTGCAGGAGATGTAACAGACATGAGTTCAATCCCTGCGTCGGGAAGATCCCCTGGAGGAAGGCGTGACAACCCTCTCTGGCATTCTTGCCTGGAGAATCCCATGGACAGAAGAGCCTGGCGGGCTACAGTTCATAGGGTTTCAAAGAGATGGACACGACTGAAGCGACTAAGCACGCAGTGTACCAGAGTGGAAGCCGATTTGCTCTTCCTTTGTCTCCTTACCATATTCTCAGCACAGGGCCCAGTGACCTGCTTGGTGGCAGAACGGGTACCTGGACTCAAGTCTGCCTGAATCTTAACATGGGAAAATGAAGGGACACAACCGAAATCTGACTGGACCCCACATTTCAATGTTGGTTTGCGTTTGGTACCATGAGACCCACACATGGTGTAGTGGTTCCACTTGTATTTTTCTGCTTGGATTCCAGCAAGGGGCCCTAGAGGGAGAGCCTAGGGGCGGTTTGGAGGAGGGGGCAATGATATTTTCAGGCTTACTCTCACTGTTGGATAGATACTTTATCATTGTGTTCATTTGGCCTGGGCTTTGACTTAATGTAAGGTCATTATGGAAGCATCCCAGGCAGAGGGAATCATTTACAGTGAGTACTTCTCAAAAGCAAGTTGTCTGCTGACTAATTTGATGGCAACTTCTGTTGGACCTTTCAGACTTCAACTTTTTCTTTACTTAGGCCTTCCCTGACTACTCACTGTAATTACAAAATGCTCAATTTCTGAGACAGATCAGTTCAGTTCAGTCGCTCAGTCATGTCCGACTCTTTGCGACCCCATGAACTGCAGCACGCCAGGCCTCCCTATTCATCACCAACTGCCGGAGTCTCCCCAAACCCTTGTCCACTGAGTCGGTGATGCCATCCAACCATCTCATCCTCTGTCGTCCCCTTCCACTCCTGCCCTCAATCTTTCCCAGCATCAGGGTCTTTTTGAATGAGTCAGCTCTTTGCATCAGGTGGTCAAAGTATTGGAGTTTTAGCTTCAACATCAGTCCTACCAATGAACACCCAGGACTGATCTCCTTTCGGATGGACTGGTTGGATCTTCTTGCAGTCCAAGGGACTCTCAAGAGTCTTCTCCAACACCACAGTTCAAAAGCATCAATTCTTCTGCATTCAGCTTTCTTTATAGTCCAACTCTCACATCCATACATGACCACTGGAAAAACCATAGCCTTGACTAGATGGACCTTTGTTGACAAAGTAATGTCTCTGCTTTTTAATATGCTGTCTAGGTTGCTCATAACTTTCCTTCCAAGGAGTGTCTTTTAATTTCATGGCTGCAATCACCATCTGCAGTGATTTTGGAGCCCAGAAAAATAAAGTCAGCCACTGTTTCCACTGTTTCCTCATCTATTTGCCATGAAGTGATGGGACCGGATGCCGTGATCTTGGTTTTCTGAATGTTGAGCTTTAAGTCAACTTTTTCACCCTTCTCTTTCACTTTCATCAAGAGGCTCTTTAGTTCTTCACTTTCTGCCATAAGGGTGGTGTCATCTGCATATCTGAGGTTATTGAGACAGATCAGTTGATGATTAACTTTATGTTAGGATGTACTTGTAATTCCTTTTATTTATTTTTGAACTTTTTATTTTGTATTGAGGTATATGGCTATACCCTAATAAAAACAGTTCAAAAACTATTAATGTTTTGATTTAGTGTCAGGTAAAGGGACGCAGCCATACATATCCATGTATCCATATGTAATTCCTTTTAATACAGAGTATCAGAAATAGAAATCTATTGACAAAATATCAGATTTATGATAAATATTGCAGGAACTTCCTTAAGCCTAGTCTCTGTTCTGCCTCAAATCTCTCTGCCTGTAGGACATGAGGGAGACAAGGCCAGGAGGCTGTAACTGGAATTCATCTCGTCAGGATTTATTTGCTGATTAAGTTATCACTAAAGGGTCTTCATGTCCAAATCCAGTTCCACAAAGTTCCAGGCCTATAGGGTGGATGTGGCTAACCTAGCAGTTTTTTTTTTTTTTTTTTTTAATAAATTTTGTCCTGCATAAAGCATGCTATTTTTCTCCCCTTTATCATGGCCTTCACGTTTCTTCAGGCATGTCTGAGGGGAATCTGGATTCTGCCACAACTGTTGTCCTCTGTGGGCATCTCTTCCATGTGTGGGTACCATCCTAGGAGCCTTCTCTTTGGCCCCTGACCTGCTCTCTCCACACTGAAGCTGGATGGTACAGAGGAGTGTCTTTTAAACTCCAGGTCAAGTTGCCATGAAATCAGTTGGTTCTGATTCAGTCAGCTATGTTCTCAACATCTGCACACAATCATTGCAGAATCTGACAGATGTATAGCAACAAGCCTCCTTCTCTGCTGAGGTGTCTGTGAGTCGCTGGGATTTCACTGGTTCAGGTTGGGCTCTTCTGGGCTCAGCTTCAAGCTGCAGGTTGGCCCTCGTCTGCTCCATGAGTGTCTGAACCTCCTCTGGCCAGCAGGGTAAGTTCTTCTCCAGAGAGGCTACAAGAGGGCGAGTCCAATACACAGCATGTTCTCAAACCTTTGCTCCTGTCAAGGCTGCTAACAACCCAAGACCAGGCCCAGCCTGAAGTCAAGGGGTGAGGAAGCGCATTCCACCTGCCAGGGTGCCATGACTAGGATGTCTGCTCTGGGGAGTGAGACTGTAGTATGGAAAAGGTATGCATTGTCTCTGAAAACTTTTGTCCCAGGTGTGCTTCATCTAGATTATCAGTCATTGCCTAGCTGGGCTTCCTGCAGTAACCCCTGCCTCCCCTGCAGCCTGTAGGCAGCATACCACCAGAGGCATCTTCACTGAGATCTTGTCAAAACCCTCCATGGTTCCCCACATAGGTCCCCTTCCCACTCCTCAGACTCACCTGCTGTGCGTGCTCCTACCTACACCTTGATACCTGCTCCTGTCTATGCCTGGAGCTCTCGTCACATAGGTATCTACCTATGTGACTCATTCCTTCACTTGTAGTGAGGTTTTGCTTATTAATATTTATTTAGTGCTAAGAACATAGATATCCTAAAGAAGGGGCAGACAATTAAGAAACAGTAATTTTTTCTAAATAGGAGTTTCATAATGAAGACACTCACGAGTCAAACCTCTAAAACAGAAAAGCACACAAATCTAGAAAAATGTGAAATACTTTTTCTCTCTTACCTGAATTAACCTGAAGTGAAAGTGAAAGTGTTAGTTGCTCGGTCGTGTCTGACTCTTTGAGACCCCATTGACTGCACAGCTCACCAGGCTCCTCTGTCCACGCAATGCTGCAGTCAAGAATACTGGAGTGGGTAGCCATTCCCTTCTCCAGGGGATCTTCTTGACCCAAGGATCGAACCTGGGTCTCCTGCACTGCAGGCTGATTCTTTACCAATTGAGCCACCAGGGAAGCCCTGAATTAACCTGACAACACCGAAATATCAACTTTGAGAGCAATTTTAAAATCATGCAAAAAATAGTACTTGTAGCATTTAAACCATAAAAAAGTATCTGCCTTATATGTGACAAAAATAAAATGAAAGCAAGTAAAAGTATACAATTTATACAATTCAGAGACAACCAGTGTGTCTAAAAAGTGAAAGAAAGGCAATTAGGGACAGGAGACACTTTGTAAAGCAGAGTGCTACAGTGATGTCTACTGCTAGCCTAGATGAAAACAGGAGACTCTGAACACAGAATCACTGATGATGGATGGATAAAGGTGTAGTATTTCCAACAGGCAGCAAATCACCTGGCCCTCAGGTAAAACCTTCAGAACATAAACTGAACCGAGGCAGTTTTCAGGCAAGAATGCAAAGTTGTATTCTCTGACTACTCATTATAAAATCGCAGCCGTCACGACCCTGATCCGTGTCTTTGCTGAGTCAGCACATTGAAGCCACATGTGACACAGTGTGTGTGTTACCTGTTTCTATTTCCCCACAGGAGGATAGCCCTAGGAAAACAAGTTCCTTTGCCTGCTGGGATCCATTCCCAGGGTCTGACCCAGAGCAGAACCTCAAATGTTTGTTGGTTGAATGAGTGAGTGAACAGGGATTTTTCTCACAGAACAAGAAATATGGAGGCAAGTGGTCCCCAGGTTGGTTTGGAAGCGCGTCATGCCTTCAGGGAGCCAGGCTCTTTTCAGCCTTTCACTCCGCTGAGCTCATGGTGCTGGGAGGTCCTTTCTGATGCTCTCGAGATGGTGAAGCCTGCTGCAAACCCCTTGCCCTTCCCCAACGAGCTGCCAGAACAGAAGCTCTTCTCTGCCATCTCGAGGTGATTATCAGTGGGAAGGTCTCTGTACTGGCCGTGACTGGGTTAGACACCCATCTGTAAACCAATTCTTGGCAAATAGAATTCATGACTGTTTTTGAAAAGCTGTCATGATTCCCCTCCTGGGGCTGCACACGTCGCCACCTAGAGCTGAACAAAATCGGTAAAAACCATCTGTGAAACAAAGGGACGGGAAAGGATTGCCCACGGCAGGTTTCCATGCCAGACAGGCGGGGCCCCCCTTGGACCATGGCTCAGAGGTGCCATCTGCAGTTAGTAAAGCCCCAAAGCCAGGGGAGCAGGGGTTGGGCTGTGATCCTCAGGAGACGGAGGTGCCTGTGCAGCAGCCACGGTCTGTCCCAGGATGCCGCCCCTTCACCGTCCAGCCCCCCAGCCCCGTTCCCCACACGGCCGCTCCGCCCACACAGTGGGAGCAAGCCACCCTCGCTGCTGTCTCCCCAGAGTTGTTCTTCTGGAGGAGGAGGCCCCTCTCCACCTCCCTGTTTTCCCCAAGACCCGAGAAAATGAGATCAACTATTTTGGGCTCAAGGACTTTAAATTCCTAAGGAAAGCGGATTTACTGACCAAAAATCTGACATTGAGTTTCTTTTTAAAAAAATGTAAACAAAGTGAAAATTAAAAAACTTTATTTTTTGAATAGATAATACATGTACATGGTACAAAATTCAAAAGGTACAAAACGTAAACCGTGAAAAGTAACCCCCACCCCTCATCCCAGAGGCAGCCAAAGCCTTCAGGATCCTGTGGATCCCCCCAGAGATTCTCTAACTGTGCCCGCACACACAAGTATATATACAGCCACATTTTCCCCACCCTCTTCCTTTTCAGAAATAAACACTAGTAAGCCAAGTCTTTATCTCCACTTAACCATGCATCTGAGGGATCATTCCATGGGAGTACATAGAGAATAGCTTAATATACCATTGTGTGGATTTGCCACAATTATTTAACCATTGCCCTATGCTGGTGGTAGTTTCCATCTTCTTGCTATTACAAATAATGCTGAAATGCAATTCCTTCTATATAGGAAAAATCCTTAGACATAGCATTGCTGACCTGGAAGGTTTGTGCATTTTCACTTTTGATAGACACTGTCTGACTGTCCTCCATGGGGTTGTACCGTGCATACTTCCGCCAACACTGTATCCCAGGGTGCTTCCCACTGCTTGGTTTCCTGTGGCTCAGTCATTTCAGCCAGCCAGGCTACCTTTATGCATGGTTTACTCTGAGCCAAGACATACTCCTGACCTCATCTCTGACAATAATGTGTTCCCTTTGCCCCCCACTTCCCCCATCTGCATGGGGGTGGACCATCTGCAAAAAGTAATGCCTTTGAAACGTCTGAAACCTCAGACACCCTTCTCATCTTAGCTATCAAGGTTACAGTGTAACAAACACTCTGAGACCCTCTAAAGTGGCTGAATAAAATCACCCCCTCATTCTCAAGCTAAGCACAAATCAGAAGAAAGGTTCAATCTAAACTCTGCTAATACGAGGATGCATAGCTGCAGTCTGGAGAAGCTATTTTATCCAGCCAGAGTTTCCTGATCCACTCTAGTCAGATGCCAGGGAGACGGCAGAGGATAATACAGGCGACGTCCCTGCCTTTGCCGCTTACACCCGAGCGGAGGGCAGCTCACAGGTGTCGCACAGGACTTAGGGAGGGCACCGTCAAACGGTGACGTTTGATGGAGAGCAGGGGAGAGAGCGCTGTGTGGTCGGCTGCAGGCTGACACCGAGGCATCTGTGCGAGCACCAGGTGTCTGGGAAAGCCCTCGCCCTCAATCTTGGAGGGAGAGCGGTCCAGGCAGAGGCCAAGCAGTGTGAGCCTGGCACGTCTGAGGAACTGACGGGAGGCTGACGTGGAGAGTCCATCGCATTCCCCATGTCATCAAGGAGGCCGCAGACCAGCAGCTAACCCCCCCCAACGTCTCCACACATTTACTGTGAGAGCAGGGAGACCATGACAGTAGTTTTTCACACGGCATTTTCAGCCTATCACCGTGAGCTCGCTATGAGACAGAACTGTCAGGGCTGGGGACTCTGAGGACACATCACACCAGGCCCCTCTCTTGGTCAGGCCAGCCGCTTGGACAGATGGGGGGCCCTCACCCTTCGGGGCTCCTCACTGTCCGGCTGAGCCGCGAGTTGTGCTTAAGGCCACCAGCGGCCACGGATGACTCAGAGCACTTCCTTCCTCAGTTTCGCTCAAGTCAATTAACCGCCTCTCGGGCTCAGCCATGGTAACTTGTTGCTACAAGGCCACGTCCCTGATCGCCTGCAGAGGGGGCACCGTGAGGCCGTGCTGAGGTGCCAGGGATCAGGTGGCACAGGTGTGCAGGCCACGGGCCCAAAGTGCCCTCGGGCAGGACTGCTCTGGTCACGGTGACAGCCCGAGGACCCCCGTCTCCTGCGTCTGGTTTCAGGAGGCCCAGGAGCTGCAGGGATTGTCAGGGGGTGAATCCTCAGCCCGGGAAAGGTCTCCTGTCTCCCAGCCCCTCAACCTTCTGGTTTTGCTGGCAGGACATCCAGCTCTCCACAGAACGTGGGCAGTGAACCCGGTTAAAAGCACACCCTGCAGACTCCGATGAGCGCTTAGGCCTGACGCACTTGGGCTGTGCCCATTCGAGCCCCTGACGAGTGACCTCAGCACCTCCCTGGGTGCAATTAGCCAAGCAGTGACCCAGGAGCCTGGACCCAGGCCACGGACGGTAACACACACAACCCGAGCGTCTTCCCAGATGCCTGGAGGGCGTCAGTCTGTCCTGCTCACAGCAGCTCTGACTCCCGAAGCTGCTCATGGGATGGGGGCCCAGCCCAGGCCCCAGCCGTCAGCAAGCTCACTGCCCTGGCTGAACAGGGAGGATGCACTGCTCCTGGGGAAACCTCCTTCCCCTGGTAGCACATGCTTTACAACCGTGATGCATTTGTCATCTCCAGAAAAGCCTGTGGGCTCAGCAGAGCAGCCAGCCATCCTCTGGGCACACAGGACCAGTCCTGGGAGGGCCCCTGACCTCTGAGGCCTGACTATAAAGCACATTTAATGTCCTCTTTACTCACAAAGGCACCATCCACGCTGTGGGTTATCTGTAGCAAACATAATTCTCAAGACTGGCTTATGCAGTTTAATTCAAGATGTGTTCAAGGAACAGAAACTGATTTATTATCTTTTTCAGGCCTTATCCCTTAGTCCTAAGGGACTTAAAAATGGAAACATCTCCTGATACCTCCCTATACCAAAACCGAATGAAACTGTGGAAACACAGCCCAAAGTCAACACCCCCACTTCTGGAAGACGCATTAGTTCCTCTGGATTAGCCATGCCCAACTTTCTTCAGTCATCCAGAGAGGAGGGCCACCATGACCCCCAGGAGAACCCATTTCTCCTCCCACCACCTGGGACCACACATGAATAGTCTACCTGCTCACAAGTTGTTAGTTAGGCCTGTGAGCTTCTCAGCAAGACCACCAAGGTGTTTTTCTGAACCTGAGATAGTTCACAGTTCTACCGTCCGCTCCTTCCCTTGCCCCTGGAGCTCTACCTGCACTCTGGCAGCCACTGGCTTCAGCCTCACTGAGTCCTTTCAGAATCCACAGGTGACCAGCACCCACCCAAGTGGAGAAGCACATGGCCAGGAACAGGGCCATCAGCACACGGGGGCGCTGGCAGCAGCCTCCTCACTGGGCGGGCCTCGCAGGGCCAGCACAGAAGCCAAGGGCCATGGATCCAGCCTGGGATTCTTTAAGTCTGTGCACACCAGCCCTGCTCACCGCACACATTAGGGAACTAAAAACAACGTCCCTGCAGCTGCACACAGCATGCTCACTGCACGTCTCCGCTTTTATGCCTCACAGCCTGAAGACCTGCCGACCGGTACCTGCAAGGCTGGTGTGGGATGACGTGCAAGCCGTCACGGACGGTTCACGGACCCTGAAAGACCCCGAAGGGCCGGGGCAGGAGGAGCTCGGTTTGGATGGCCTCCTGCCTTGCGGGTGGGAACGTAAAGCCCGCTGTCTTTCCATCAAGGCTCTGCAAAGGGTGAGTCTCTGTCCACCTTTCCGGACGGCTCTCTAGAGCCCCCTGCAGAGACCGGCCACCCACCCCTCTCCCAGCAAGCACGGCTTGTATTCTCCCTGCGCTTGAGTTTTAATCACAACCGTACTTTATCCAAAATGGCTTTCCTGCTAATCTCTATTGAACTGTGAGTCCTCCTTCGGATCCAGCCCAACCCAGCCGGCTCCGTGAAAGCCCTTGGATCTCCACACACCTGCCTGCTCTTGCTGCTTGGACACCCTCGGCACCTGCTCATGGCCGGTCCCTCCAGGATTTACACGCTGGCCTGGAGCGGGGTGACCGTGGGCGAGCCCGCCTCTGGGTCCAGCCCTGACCTGGGCACAGCAGGGAGCATGTGATGTGCTCCCAGTGAGGGGGACGCCCAAGACCACCCAGAGACTGGCTGAGACTCATGGAGAGCAGGCGCAGTGCGGTGTCATTCTTACGTGTCAGGCTGAGGTCCTTTTTTTTTTTTTTTAAATTTTTGGTGAGATGAACTTGGGTGAGTGTGATGAAGCCAAGGGCAGACACGGAGTTTTCATTTTAGTTGCTATACCAGTAAGGTTGCTGACTGGCCCCCGAGGGACCAGGAACAAAAGGCATCACAGCAAGTGAGAGGCCCAAGTGACCAATATTCACGTGGGCTGGTCGTTCAGCTGAAAGCCTTGTTTACTAAGAAAAAAAAAAAATCCCAGCGGTCAGGCTCTGGGGCCAGTGTCTGTGGCACCCTGCTCCGTGCTTCCTCAGCAGCTGCTCAATTAACATTACTGAACAAATGAATTCCTCTTTATTCAGAGTCCATTCAAATACAGGTACCTTCATATGTGCAACGTTACTGGAGAAATAAAAGTAGAATCGACACAGAGAACAAACACTGCCCACATTTCTTCACTGGAGGATGGGTGTTATCCAAGCCACAATGTCTGCACTGTCCGACCCCATGGACAACAACCACATGGAGATGAAATGTGAGCAAACAGGAGGAAGAAAATATCCCGTGTTGAGATCATCACACCTACATCTCTGCTGCAGTGTCCGGAACCATTTCACCATCTCAGAGCTGATACATGGCATTTAGATGAAGACATCAATGACGTGCGATGTTGTCTGGGAATGTTCAAGAGGCCTTGGCTTTCACCTTGGACAGCAACATCTCGTTCTTGCGGCCTTCCTGCAGGGGAAACAGAAACAGAGAGCAGAGATGTGGGGACCACGTTAGTGCCCACCTCTGCATCCTTCCCTGTCCCCTAGGAGGCCTGTGGATCAGCAGACAGGCCTCCTTTTCCATTGCCACCAGCCTAGGGGAGGTTCCTGGCCACATGCTGACCTTCAAAGCCCCAACAGTCTCAAAGACTGACTGTTAAGACTGAGGACAGGAGAGAATTAGGTACTGTCATCCCCAAAGACTTCAATCCCCAAGGGGCAGAAGCAGAAAGCAGACACTTCTCTGTTGATCTTGGATGCCTCCAGTGAGGAGGGGGAAGTCCTGGACACCACGGCCCAAGAAGTCCTAAGAGACAGCAGGCGGAGCATGTAGAAGAGCTCTTACCCCACAAGAGCGAAGGTTAAGGATACCCTCAGCTTAAGAGAGAAACTCACAGCAGACAAAGGGAGAGAAACATATTGAGGGACACCTCTCCCATAAAGTGAGCTGTAGGAAACCCATCACTGAGGATGCTGCAGCATGTGGACGAGGTCACTGGCCTCGTCCCCTGGTGCAGAGTCTGGCATCCAGGGTACAAGGCCATCGCTGTGTTGTTTTGAATCCCCTTCTTCCAAAGCATCTCACTGTGCGTCCTCCTCAACCTGCTGGCAGTGGCCTTGACAGCTCAGGATACTTCCGTCTGCTAGCTCATCATGTCCCCTTCTTCCCTGGACTGCAAGGAGCCCTGTTTACAGTGAGAGGTGAGCGCGGAAGGGGAAGGACCTCGAGGGGTCAAACCCGAGCCTCCACTCATTATTCTGCCACTTCATGTGGAAGAAAAACTGGGTCACCCTTGGCCCTTTCTGCATCCAAGACCCCCAAAGTCCCCAGAGATGTTCCCATCTCCCTGGGCCTGGCCAGAGGCTCCCGCTTTTCTGGAGGCCCTTTGCTCTCAGCTGCAGTGACCCTGGTTCACCTGCAGGGTTTCTGTTTACCTTCCACTCAGAGCTGGGGAGGGCTGAGTGGGCGTGAAACTGAGTTGCTCTGCCAGAAGCAAGATTCTCTGACATTTTTTAAGCACGTGTTTTTGGAGGGGGAGATAACTTCTGGGGGGTAAGAAGAGAAAGAAGGTGAAGATGGGTAACATTTGTTGTGTTAGAGAAGTTGAGAAGAAAGTTTTCTTATTAAAAATGAGTTATTGAGATCTGCTTGGGGGAAAAGCCTCCAGTACCAACACACACACACACACACACAAACACAAATACAAAAAATGTAAGTGGGGAGCAGTAAAGATGAATAAAACAGGCAGAGAGGCATACTATTACACTGGTAGACTGCTTTCTCTAGTTCTGTGTGTTTTTGAAATTTTCCATAAGAAAAAGATAAAACAATATAACAAGAAATAAATAAGTTTTAATTGCTATCCACGTCACTTTATGAAGGAGGAAAAAAACAAAAAATAACCCCCAAACAAAAAACCTTGGAAGCATCAAAACTGCTGCTATGGCAAAATCCCCAGCAGGGGCCATTCTTCTCATCACACCACACTGAGACGAGACTTCACGTTTTCAGTAAAGACATTTCAGGCCGTCATAACCTGGTGTGAGAGCACTACTTAATGCACGCAGTCTCCTGGACGCCTTTCAGGAGAGGACAGAATGATATTGTCTGTCAGTTCAAAGCAAAGACAGAGAGTCCTTTAGGTCCTTCTCCTAGCGTCTGCCTCTCTTCTGCTGAAGGAAGTATGGGGCCTGTTCTGTGCCAGATGCTGCAAGCTCCACTCACTCGAGATTATGTGCCCAAACTCAGCATCATAAAAACGCACGGCTGGCCTTCGCCAGAGCCAGGCAAGAATCTAGCTCTTAGTTTGGGAAACTTGTGAGAAACTGTGCTTTGAGAAACACAATTAGCTGGTGTAATACTGCCCTTAAGGTGTTTTCAGAGTATATGTTTTTTTCCTGGCAGACTTGTTATTAACAAACCCTCCCAGGGCAAGCAAGTCAATGGAATTTTAGAGATAACTCAATGTCTACCCAAAAGGGCCTTGATTCCAGAGGAGGTTGGAGTCAGGATGACGGCATGACCTAGGCCTGCATGAAGCCCACGGGGTCACAGGAGCTCAATTAATGTGGAGTCAACTGTACCCCATAAAGTGATGACTGTGGTGGTCAAAGGGAAGCTGTGGAGCCTCAGTGGTAAGGAATTCGCCAGCCAACGCAGGATATGCTGGAGACTCGGGTTTGATCCCTGGTCGGGAAAACCCCCTGGAGAAGGAAATGGTGACCCACTCCAGTATTATTGCCTGGAGAATCCCATGGACAAGAGCCTGGCAGGCAACAGTCATGGGGTCGCAGAGAGTCAGGCACGATTGAGCACACACACATGCCGAGTGGTGGTCAAAGACCATGTTCTGGATGACACTGCTCTGCATGAAGAATCACTACTGCCCAGCACGGTGCTGGGACCAGGATGCAGTAAGAATTCAGGGCTGGGGAGAAGAAAACCAGGCAGGTCGGGGAAAAAACAAGCAGAGGAGGCAGAACAGAGGATTCTGGGAGAAGATTCCATCCTGGGCTGAAAAATCTGATTTTTAAACTGCTTTTCTCCCACAAATGAGATCCTACACGAAACTGCAATATGTAAAATGGCAGAATGACTCTAACTGGAAGGGTGCGGTGGGAGCTAGGAAGCAGCAGGGAAGCCTCCACACCTGCGGTGGCCCCAGCATAACTTAGAAGAGCTTGAAAACAATCTCTAAGGTTTTAGAATGCTAACTCATGGTTTTACATTTTTACCAAGATGATTTAAAAAAAAAAAGCGTACACACTGTCACCATCATTTTATAAGAGAGAGGCAACTGTAGAATCAAAAAATAGGACCTAATTTTATTTTAAAGGTGAGTCCTTTAAGTGAAATACATGCAGCCGTCTGCAGCAAATATTACATTCCCCTTCCCCTTTTTCCATCTAGCTTTGGACTGAAGGACACTGAGGCCAGCACCTGGTCTGCTCTGGGGTCTTCATGGGTTCTGAGGGGCCCACCTTCGGTCTCTGACTGACAGTAACTGTGCCAAGGAGGCGGGAACATGGAAATCTTGACCTTAACGTATCTGAGGGAACTGTTTCCTTCAGGGAAGACCCCCAGCCTTCACTCCGAGAGCCTGCAGTGTAGTAACGAGCTTTTCCATCTCGCTTTTACTTGCTCTGACTTTGACTCATCCTCCCAACTCACCTGCTCTGTGTTTCTGCTGTCAGATGGCAGTGCTGCTCTCCAAGCAACGCTTACCGTAATTCTCCTCTGGGCCTTCTGTCCTTGTGTGCCACTGGGGAAAAAGACCTCAGGTGGGGAGTGGGGGGTCCCTGTTTACTTCCTGCAGCTCTCTCGCTGGCCCTCTGGCTCCAGCCCCTGCCAACCAGAGGCTCCCAGACGCGGAGCAGCTTGCCCGGTCACTTTGCCCAAGACCAAGTTCTCACTGGGGACAGGCCTTCCCCGACCACACCCGATACATCAGTCCCCTCAAGGCAAAGGCTGGAATTACTTCTGATTTGTTATTACTCATTCATTGAAAAGGATGAGACATTCTGAAATGCCTACAGTTGTGGCTCTCAAAAGTTACGTTACAATAATGGGGAGAAGCAGCAGAGAAGGAAAACAGGGAAGTGAGGAAGGAAGAAAGAAGAGCCACAGAAAACATGTAAGAACAGAAACGCTGGTAGGCAAGGACTTTTTAATTCCATTGACCACATGCCAGGATACAACTACCTTTAGCTTCCCTGCATCTTCAGCAATCTCTAAATTCACTAAAACCACACAGATTTATATTAGAAAGGGGGAAAGAAGTCCTGAAAATAAAGCTGATGAGATCTTGGCAAGCGACAGAATGAAGTCTGCTTTCTGGAAAATCTTTAAGAAAAGGGCACTTTCCTTTCTGGAATGATGGACAGTAATCCTGCCCAAATGCAAGAGAAAAGACAGGGGTAAACAACATCTGGTAGAGGGTGGGTGTGACGGGTGCCAGATACCCGTGTACACAGTAGGCCAGTGGCAGGATCTGAACCCAAGCCTGGCACACTCACAGTTCACTCCCCTCACACATCGCTTCTCAAGGTCCCTTGCAGCTTAAGATTGGGAGGAAAGGAAATGCTAGACCTGAATCTAACAAACACTGTTTCCAGGTGGCCCTGCGATGCCATTTTACTTGTGAGTTTAATGTGGTTACAGAGTGTCAAGAAAATGAAGTGATGTTCTTTAGAACTGTTAGAACAGTTAGAGCTTCCAGATGGGCCACGAAACAACATCGTGAACTACTTAGATGCACACTTTACATTCAGGTCCAATGCTCACTTGCTATTTCCATTTCAGACCAGTGGAAAACCAGTGGAAAACCAAAGAAATGTTCTGGTTTGCAGAGGTTCATCTGGGGGGGATTTGAACAAGAATTTTGCCCAGCCTCAAGGGACCCATGCCCCTCTTACCTCCTTGAACTCTTTCACAGTCTTAAAGTACAGCCTCTGTTTTTCTAACAATTCCAAGTACTGGTCGTTCAACTGGTCTCTTCTCATCTTGTTCTCTTGCTTCTTCTTCTCCATCTGTTGAAACATTTTGGGAAACAGCGATGAAAAGCCATGTTCTGACCAAGCGTGGCTGACAATGTCCAGAAGGAAACTATTAGTAACTTTCATGGATTTCCTTCCAGTAGTTTCCTTCTATGCATCATTTCTGAGGTTGTTTTATTTATGTATGATACGGCATAGGAATTATAATCTGTTCAGCAAGTCTCCTACCACTGGGTGTTAACTGCTTCATTTAACTCTTTCTTTTTGTGTGGTGTTTGTGTAAGCACAATTTCACAAGAAACAGGTAGGCAGTTTCCTGTTACTCAGGAACCTTTCCACAAACCACAAACACCTACTCCATTGTACACCCTGCACCTGCTGGCTCTGGGGGAACCTGTGCTCTGGGGCACAGAAACTCCCCTGCCACCGCTATCTAAGCAGAACCCATCATGGTACCCAGATACAGGGGGCTGTGTTTTTGTTTCTTTTAAACAAACACAACAAAAGACATCCACCCAAATGAGTGCTGTTCTGCAGAGCAGACAGACTTAATCCATTCCAGTGCCAATCAACATTCAAAGTCTACCTGGAACCCTCAAGGAGAACTACTTTTGGACTCAGTGAATTCACTCGTTCAACAAAGAGATCTTTGGTGCTCACCACGGGTCAGGTGCCAGTCACCAGCAACACAGACATGAGAGGAGACAGCCCTCCCCATTCAGGGACCTGGGCACCCTCCTGGGGCCCAGCCACCTCGTGGGGGGACAGACACAGCAGCAGCCTCCTCTGCTGGCCAGCACCAAGGTGCCTTCACCACGAAGCCTGGGACAGGATGAAGGGAATGAAGGAGTCAGGCCCATTTCCTTCCTGAGGAATGCTTCAGATAGTAACCGAAAGGGAAACCAAAGTGGGGGAAAAAACCCAGTAACTTCCTCTTGTTCTTTACTATGAGTAAGACTATCTCCCCGAGGATGAGCATAGTGAGTGGAAAGTCCCTGCACTGAGGCTGGGTTGTTACAGGCCTGTGGTTGGCCAGGTTCTCTGCTCCCCACCTCCCTCTAACCCCAAATCATCGAGCAGCGACTCCACTCCCTCCTGCAAGAGAGCCTGCCTGCCCTGGGTTAAGAGGCCCCACACATGGACAGCTGCCGTCTCACTCTGCCCTCATTTTTGTGGCTGAATAGTCTTGTCACCAGTGACACTTTTTTTTAATCTTTTGACATGATTTTGTTGACATCCTTAATAAGGAGATGAATATTCTGCTAGAGGGAAAGGGACATGGCAAGCTCTTGTCTGCAGTCCCTCTCTGGTGAGATGGGATCACAGGCAGCTTGAAGGAGTGGATTTTTCGGATAGGTCCTAAGGCAATCCCTTCATGTGTTTACATTCTGGCCACGCTCTCTGGACTGCTCCATCCCAGGACTGTGAGAGGAGATGCCCTGTGTCCCCAGACGGTTTCCCTGCCATGCCCGAGGACCAGGTGTGTGACACATTTCCAGAGCAGGACCAAAAGCAAGAGACACTGGAAGTATCAGTTAGGATTTGTCTGCTGTGGTAGCGGGAGCCTTTGGCTGCACGTCTGGCTTCCCGACCATCAGCAAGTCTTCTTTCCGCCTGACAAAGTGTGCACGCGAGGAGCCAGGGTGCAGAAATGCTCACACTGCCCCTAGCCTGGACGATTCTCTGCAAAGCTATCTCTGGAGCCCCCACATCCCTTTCAGTTCCTCTTTTCTCTTCTGAGGCTCAGTATCCCCTCACTTTGGCAGAATTCAGCAATGAGATGTTAAGGAATGGATCCCTGATGGCAGAATGTCAGGAACCAGAGAGCCAGTGAGGATTTGATTCTGGACAAGAGAGAAGGCCTGCTGGTGAAGGCCAGCTTCCTCATCTGTGAAACGGGGGGAATACACTCACGTGACTTCTGGGAGGATGAGCACAGTGCTTGACACTCAGTAGGTTACACCCACAGAGCTGCTGCTAAGAGTCTCATCGACCAACGCAGGCAGCCTATGGAGCTGGCTTGCCCATTGTAGGGTCAGAGACCTTAGTGGGACCCCTTGCAGAGACACTGAAGATGTGTCTTCAGAATTGAGAGCACATCCCCAGGGCAACTGGAAGAGACCTGCTTTCTCCAGGGCCTTCTACCATCACCAGTGTAAAACTCTGGCCACATTACAGAAAAAAAGCAATCTGACCTTCATTCGACTTTGCTTAATTCCTTCTACGATCTGTTCCATCTGACGTAAAAACTGGTCCCGGGAAGCAGGGGAGGCCATGGCTCTGAAAGAAAGACCAGCAGAGGTATGACCAGCAAACAGGATTCAAGGAAAGGGGAGGAATGCAGGAGTCAGTCCAGATAATGCCCCAGGAGGCAGACAGGCCTCTGCAAGGCAGGAGGACCCATGGGTCCCCTGTGATACCAGGCAGCCAGAGATTTTAATTTGTGAGCAAGGCATGAAAATTAGCTTGGTCTTATAAATGAATATTAATCTGTTTTCCCCCCAACCTTCTCTATAATTTTCTTACTAACAGGTACTTTCACAAATAAAATGTGACTGAAATTAATAATTTTTCAAAAATTTTGAATGGTGACAGGTACTGCTTCAGGAATGAATTTCACTTAGTTTTTTTTTAAATCTGCAGATTTAGACGCACTGATCAAGGCACTGGCTGTCCAGTGGTTAAGACTTCACCTTCCAATGCAGTGAGTTGAGTCTGATCCCTGGTAGGGGAGCTAAGATCCCCCATGCTAAAAAACTAGAACATAAATAAAAGAAGCAATACTGTAACAAATTCAATACAGACTTAAAAAAAAAAAAAGGCACTGTTAAGACTGGGAGACATTTTCTGAGACTGTCCTAAAACCAGGCTGGTAAACCTGGTCCTGTTTCCAGGAGCAGCAGCTAAACAAGCGATGACCTAAAACATGCCTGTCCACCTCCAGCCCTGCAGAGGGCCTGACGTGAGAAGGGTCAGAGCACACGATACGAGGATGAGAAGAAATCTTTCAGAGGATGGGCCAAGAGACAGTGGAGCTTCCACAAAAACACTCCAACCTCAGCTTCTCTCAACGATCAGGGGATACAGATGAAGGCATCGTTTTTAGAAATGTCACAAGGCTGTAAGTCACTAAACTGAATCTGAATATTAAATGGAGCTGTTTGTTTTCAATTAGAAATGAAACTTAAAGTCCAGAGCTTGTAATCCATTAAGATCTTAGCTGCTGGTCACAGCAGAGTCTGTGCTGGTAAGGGAGGAAGTCTTCTGGACAGAGAACCAGACTGGGGCTGCCTGGATGGCAGACAAGGGGATGGTCATCTTTGAGGGCTGGTATGATCTGAGTAGAGGTGGCCTTTGCTGTTCAGTTTTTAGAGAAAATATTTATATCTGAACACAGTGATTTAGAGCACGCACATGACTTAACTCTACCACCAAATCTGAAAACTATTTAAAAAAATATATAGGTTATTTTATTACCTAAATTTTATTTTTTAATTTACTTTTTTCCCCAACCAAGGATTGAATCCAGGCCTCCATGGTGAAAGAGCAGAGTCCTAATGACTGGATGGCCAGGGAATTCCCTCATTATCTAAATTTTAAAGCATCTCTGTGTGTGCAAAAACAAATGTTATTAATCTAATCTTAGTAGGACAAAGGTAATCTATGAAGAAATTATGGTAGCTAGGCACAGTCAAATTATTTGAAAGCTAACTTTTCCCCTAAGCTACTCCTTGGTTGTTTTAAAAATTTGCTGTAATATCATTATGTTTTTGTAAGAACTCAAGGTCTGCATAAACCAAGATACAGCTGCACACAGCACGGGTGGAAGTGTAAGAACCCCAGCCTGGGCCCTGAGCCTTGCTGCACACGGAGGCGAGCCGGCAAGCGCAGGGCACACGGACACGGACACGGACACTGATCGGAAGAGAACCGACAGCACTTACTGTGAGAAGTTCTCGTGGATGGAGTTCAGCAGGCTGATCTGGGGAGGAAGGAAGAACAAGAACAATAAACAGAGGCTGAAAGATGCCTGTGCCACCCCAGCCACTGAAAGCCTGGCGCCTGTCTCTGGGTACTGCTTCTGAAAGGAATGCACCTTGCTCATGCAGATGAAAAGTAACACGAAGAGCAACGTGTTCTCAGACTCAGCTTCCCCAGAGTCTCCAGCTCTAGCAAGCATGACCTGTAGCATAGGAGGGCTCCGTGATGGGGCCCAAACCCCCGCTGAGGCACATCTAAGCCAACATTAGGGCTCCTTGGGGAAGCTGCACCACTGTCCTTTCAATCTCACCAAACACTGAACTTCATTTTCAGGGCCATCAGCCCAGCGGAGAGTCAGCGGGGGCAGGAAGGTGAGAACACTGTGTCCACGCTACTCCTTCCCACCGAGCTTCAGCCAGTGTGTCTGCTGCCAGGCAGCTCTGAGAGCCTTCACGGGTACGTGCCCCACTCAAGGTCCCTCCCCGACAGAAATGCCGTGGCCTGCACACAAGACCCTTTATCTGCCCTGATGACAGTCCAGGGCAGGGCTCGGAGTCTGGAGTTTAGAAACCTAGGTCATCTTTCCAGCTCTGTCACTGACCTGGCTTGTGAGCCCCAAACTAAGCATTTACTATACTCGGACTCAGGTTTACACTCTGAAACATAGAGATGATATTCTTGTCCCTGACTCCACAGGCATGTTGAAAGCTAAAATATCACAAGTATAAATAGATTTGGAATAAAATGTACAATTTACCCAAATGAAAAGTTCTAACTGCATTAATATAGCTTGGAATTAAAAAGCCCCACCACCCTGCATACTCCTAAAGGAATGCAATAACCTTAAACACTGCTGATGAAGGGAAGTCAAGGGGGTTTAAGGCTTTCTCACAAGGAGCTGGCCTGTTCCTGAGTTAGGGGACAAGTCTTCCCCTTACCAGGTGGGAGGACCCCCAGGTCAGGGCGTGCAGCAGAGCGATCCCCCAGGTCTGATGTGTGTTCAGTCACTTCAGTCACGTCTGCCTCTTTGTGACCCCATGGACTATAGCTCGCCAGGCTCCTCTGTCCACAGGATTCTCCAGGCAAGGACACTGGAGTGGGTTCCATGGCCCTCTCCAGAAGATGTTCCCGACCCAGGGATTGAACCTGTGTCTCTTGTGTCTCCTGCGTTGCAGGCAGATTCTTTACCCACTGAGCTATCTGGGAACCAGGTCTGATGAAAATCCCCCAAACGCACTCATCTATTCAAACACTGATCAAATGCTTGTTATGTGTCTATCACTGTGTAAGGCCCTGGATAGAGAAAACGGAACCCAACCCCTCAAGGAGTGCGTCTCAGAGGACAGCGATTGATCTGGTTTGACTGGCAAAAATAGGCAGTCAACAGGGAGCTCAAACTTGGGCTATGAAACCACCTAGAGGGGTGGGGCTGGGCGGGAGGTGGGAGGGAGGGTCAGGAAGCAGCGGACACATGTCCACCTCTGGCCGGCTCATGCTGATGGACGGCAGGAACCAACACAATATTGTAGAGTAATTATCCTTCAATTACAAAGAAACAAACCCCAAACAAAAAATGGGTAGTCAGGATAACAATAGCCACAGAGGCTTCCATTTGGGTCCAGGTAAAAGATACAGCTGTAACAGTATTCTTATTAAAGAGGTAATTAGTGCAGGTTGCAGGATGATAATGAAATAAAAAGATTCTGTCACCTTCAAGGTGAGGGGTAGGCAGGAGCTAATACATATCACCGTGTGCTAGAACTTCACAGACATGGTCTCATTCATTCTCTATCACTGCAGGATATGTGGTGAGGGTGAGAAGAAGGCCAGACTAAAACCCACACCCAAATGACTCCGGAGCGCCTGCTGCCCCCCCCGCCCCCCGCCACACTGAGCTGCATGCTGCAGCTGTGAAGACGCCCCTGCTTATTCCTAAATCCAGCTGCACACCCGCCCCGATCCACTGCTTTCCACTGAGGGAGCTCCGAATCACCAGCAGATCTGACCAGAGTGAGAGTCAGAGCAACATGGAGCGGCTGCTCACGGTCACCCCTTCCACTCCTGCTTTCAATTTTACAATTCTTTCAGTTCATGCCTCTGTCTGACGCTGGTGACTAAATAGCCATTTCCCCAGGTCAACTCTGACGGCCCACCTTCCCCATTTCCTTTAGTTGGTTCTTTCCTTCATTTAAAGCTCAAACTCGAGTTTCACCAACTGCGGATCCTTCTCCATATGTACCTCTTGTGCTTCCAGTCGTTTCTTTTTGTGATGGTGCCTCTTGCAGGGCACCACACAACCACTGCCCACTCTGCAGGGTGACGGCCCTGAGGAATCGGGCACTTTCAGACCGTGCACCCAGCACTGGGCACAAGACACAAACCCCTCTCTGTCGTCTTCTTTCTGTAAGGGCGCTCACCTCTTTCTCCAGATAAACCTTTTTGTCGTCCAGGGTGTTATACAAAGTGAAGAACTGCTTCGTTTCTTTGTGCACTGCCGAAACTGTAATGCAGAGAAATGAGCGAGCACACGGTGAGAAAACGTGTCAGTGACCCTACGTGCCCCATCCCTGCTAAGGCCTGCAGGACTGGGACCTGCCGGGCCGGCGCTCATTCTTATTTGTGAGGAAGCCCCATGGGACACAGAGGCCGTGTGGGGGGCTGCTGTGGGCGGACAGCACGTGGCAGCCAAGACAGCCCTGCCAGGACAGGCGCTAGAGCACGCTCCCTGCCGGCGTGCGGGATGGGGCGTTGCCCTGAAGTCCTCCAAGTGAGGGTCCCAGGAGAAAGGGGGCAGGGACGAAGCAGCCCCATGCAGGCTCTTCCTGTCTGTGTGGCTCCCTTCCCTTCCAGGCTCCTCATGAGCAGGAGCCACAGTCGGCTCACTTTTGTAAACCTCGTGCTTAGGGGGAAAGATTTAACTTAGGGAAGAAACTATTTTCTGCTGAGAAACTGCCACTGTTGACACCCACCCTGATCATCTGAATGAAATGTGAGGATGAAAACATCTGGGTGGGGGGTAAAACATAAAAGGAAGCACATACGCTCTGAGTAGGGACAGTGCTCCAGCTTGAACTAGGAAGGATGGCTGAGAGGTCAACATCTCAAGGGAAAACTGGGTGTACTTTAGAGAAGATTGGGAGTTTCCCAAGTGGGAACTGTAGGGCCCTGGCCTCCTGGACCTGCAGACCAGCTCACAGGGGTGAGGGACACAGGGACTGCAGGGGCCCAGCTGGCCCAGACGAGGCAGGACTCTGATCAGAATTCTGAAGACTGTCCATCCAGTTACAGGGAGCTATGAAATATTAAGGCTTTTAAAGCAAGAGTGTAAAATGATGACATTTATGTGAGAAAGAGCTCTCAGGCAGGAGTGAGGAGAAGGTGGCTATCGCAGGAGTCCAGAAGAAATGGACATGATACCACTCAGAAACGGAACTGGCAGAGCAGCATGGGTCAGAGAAGACAGGGTGTCTAGCTGGACTCGAAGGCGGTCACGGTGAGTGAGGGGAAAGGCGGGAGGGGGGCAAAGTCTTGTACCTGCTGAGTCTGAAGTGCCCAGGAGACATGCAAGAATAGAGCCTAGGGAAGGGGCGATGGTCCAGGACCTGTTTACTGAGGGTAAGTGAGGAGGTCCTTGACGGGTTCTGCCTAACAGAATGGAGAAAGGGCCCCAGGTGCAGGTAACGGGGAGTCAAGGCCGAGGATGTGAACGTCCACGGTGTGCTGCAGAGCAGTGTGTGGCCTGGGGAGGAGAGGAGGACGGAGAGCAGGAACGAGGCCTCCGGGCAGGCCTCCTAGACGGAGCAGGGTCCTGGAGAGAACGAGCAAGCTTTCCTGCAGGCTAGGGAGCTTGTGAGCATTTGTCACAGGAGAGAAGTGATACAACTGGGTGGGTGGATGACAGGGATTCAGAGAAGGGGCTGCACACCAGTTAATGGTTACTGGGTTAGGATATAAGGAAGAAGAGATATGGCAGAAGCACTGTGAAGAAAAAGGCAATGACAGCCTCGAGGGTCACTCTGAGCCTGATGAGATGTGATCCCTGATTTAGGTTGAGGGATACCCAGTCTTGAATGAACACGATGCTGTTAAAGGCAAGGATAACATGAGAAGAAGGCTCACAGAGAATAAGGACGACGAGTGAGGACTGATCTAGAGATGCTGGTTCCGTGTGACGTTGGAAAGCGGAGCCCGATGGCTGATGCGGTAGAGGGTGGGCTGAGAGCATCACTCTCAGAGCTCAGTCAGGGAGAGGGAGTCGGGGCCCCACAGTGCTGTGCCTGGGATTCCGGGCTACGTGGAATGAGTGGGCCTGATGATGAGCTAAAGCCCTTTCCAGGGCTGGCTTCCATGGACACAAACACCACGCTACAGTGGGTCAGAGCCCCTCGCCCCCTACCCCTCCCAGGGCCAGCCTCAGGAGCGTATGTGGTCGATGCACCTACTCTGACGGTAGAGTTCAATAAATCTCTTCTGATACTGTATTAGCTCGGCTCGGCTGGGCACTTCATCAATCTTGCGATGCAAAATTGCTATTTCTCGATTTCTTCGAGCCTAAATGCAAAAGAGATGGGGAGACAACACTATTTGATGAAAGGCCTTATTTGTTCCCACAAAATATTGCCCCCACTCACACTGTGCCTGCAAACCAGCTGCAGACACACACCACCAGCTGCTCCGACCCTGACTCCCACAGGCAACAGAGAGAGAAGGCATGGCTGTGAGCTGGTGCCACCTGTGTACGTGTGTGCTAAGTCACTTCAGTCGTGTCTGACTCTTTGCAACCCTGTGGACTGTATCCCCCCAGACTCCTCTATCCTTGGGATTCTCCAGGCAAGACTACTGGAGTGGGTTGCCATGCCCTCCTCTAGGGGATCTTCCCAACCCAGGGATCGAACCCACATCTCTTAGTCTCCTGCACTGGCAGACGGGTTCTTTACCACTACCATCACCTGAGAAGTCCCTAAACTGGAGGCACAGGAGGCATCACATTAACAGATCCAGAAGATTCTGAGTGGGATGGTACCCCCGGCCAGCCCACCAGGCCCCCAAGGACTCTGGAGCAGCTGATTCCCCAGAGCCAGGCGGGTACCAGAAGTGCTCCCCAGATAAGGAGAGACTGATGCCACTCTGCTGCTCCATACAACTTTCGAATCCCTGAGCCTGCCTGAAAAGCTCCTGAAGTATCTTTCTGGCATCTCCCCCTTCCCATGAAATGAACTGGGCTCTACTAGTCAAACTGCTTCTGACTGCTTCTGGGAGGCAGAGCCGTGAGGGTGCAGGGGAGACCTCGGGCTCCGAGGCGGGGAGTCTCCCGTGGGCAGCACTGGAGAAGGGGTCCAGCTCCCCGACACACTCACAGCCTCAGTGTTGCCGTCTCCCAGCCACTTTATCACAGTGGCAGATGGGGACCTCTGATTCACGTGGGTGCAAAACCCTTCCCAGTGCAAAACCCACTATCAGCTCTGGTGACCAAACCAAAACCAGGTCTGTGGCTTGAGCTAGAGCAGAGGGATAGATCTATTTCTCCTTTTGGCCAAGGCTATATTCCCCACAGGTGCTTGAGCTCTGACGCCTATGCTTCACCCACCCCCCCACCTCCCCGACCAGGAATCTATAGATACAACCATTCATTCTTTTCACTGCATCTTTAACCTCTCCTTTTCTACTGGTTTCTTTTTACTGGTATTTAAATATGTTGAAGTCTCTCATCCCTTTAAGGCCCTTCCTTAAACCCTGATCAGGGACTTCTCTGTGGCTCAGTCCTTAAGAATCCGCCTTCCAATACAAGGGATGTGGCTTTGATTCCTGGTTGAGGAACTAAGACCCACAAGCCATGGGGCAACCAGGCCCTTGAACTGCAACTAGAGCCCATGCACCACCATGAAGACCCCGGACAGCCAAAAAAGAAGAAAAGAAAGAAAGAAAAAGGAAACCGCAAAAACAAGTACTCAAGGGGCTCTGACGTCTCGACTCCCCTCCCCACAAGCCACCCTTCAACCCACGGCCGCTGGCTGCTCCAAACACCCACTGGAAATACTCTCACCAAGGTCACACAGACTTCTCTGTGCCTGTGGCAACTCTCAGCCTCCAGCTCTCTCAACCTCTGGCAACGCTGAACCTTGTTTCCCCCGAGCCCTCTGCTCAGCGGCCAGGAGACCTCAGACTCCTCTTTCCCTGGGCCTCGAGCTACCCGCTCGGTCTCCAGCCTCACTGGTGGAGTCCTCCTTCACAGCCTCCACCACCACCTACACAGCGCTGACACCCAGACCTCCAGCCCAGATTATTCCTACTTGGTGCAGTACCCTAACCTTTAAAAGCCCCACAGAGATCTCATGAACATTTCTCTTCACCGTCCCATTCCCTTCAGCCCTACCCTTTCTCCTTTAGGCTTTTTCTCAATGAACAACACAAGGATCCATGCGCGTGCCCAAGTCGGAAGTTCTCCATCTTTGGCTCTGCTGTTTTCTCTAACCCATCCCTGGTTCCATCGATGCAGCTGCTCACCCTCTCGGCCACCAGTTCACTTCCATCCCCCTCACTGAGCCAGCCCTGGCCCAGGCTTCGGCACTGATCCCTGCAGCCCCTTGGCCACTCCCACCAGAACCTGGCCTTCCTTTCCCAGAGAGCAGAGAAGTTCCGGGCCAAAGTGCAACACAAGTGAACTCTTGGCTTTTAAGTGTCCATGAGCCAGAATCTGGCAACGGAAGAGATTTTACAATGCAATTTTGACTCTATATGAATTTAAAGCCTACTTTGAAGCGTACCTTCCCATATCTGATAGCCTTCTCACCTGACCCCCAACCAATACACCCCTCCCCCCCCACCACCCCAGGTTATCAACTAACAGCTAAAGTGGGCACTTAATTTTTGAAGAAAAGTACTTGACAAGAACATTAGACCTTGAATCCTGCCTCCAGCACTTTCTAGCAGCTTGTACTTAACAGACTTGAGTCAATTTCTTCATACAGAAAATGAGGCTGACAGCTAGGTGATGATCAAGTCAAGCGAGATGTTGGTAAAATAACAGACCAATGTGAGGTGTTATAACCAACACCTCAATCCAGAGTTACACTCCAGACAGAAGAGGAAATAGTAGCCTTATAACTGAGTCTCTCTGGCTCTTAGATACTGAGATGCTCTTGTTCTGCTATAGGACATGCAAACCTATTAGATGGATTTATCAGCTCGTGTTTACTCACCTGTAGTAGACGGATCTTGTAAAGTTTCTCTTTCTCCATGTTATACCGTCTGTCTAGGTCTTCCTGAAATTGGAAAAAAAAACCCTCACAATTATCTGCAAATTTTAATTTTTTTGATGAAATCTTTCGAAGTTGAACAATTTTTATATATCTCCTTCACTGTGAGGCTCCAAATTTCTTTTTTGAAATGGCTGAGTTCAGGGTTGAGTCCTACATCCTGTGAGACCCTTGACACTCTTTCACATCACTTTGTAACAACTCTTTCTTCTTCTGGGACCCAGGCTGAATCCAGGGTTCTCAAGTGAAGGATCCTCCAAATCCATGTGCCCTTCCCTCCCTTAACAAAAAAACCATGAGGAGGAGATAACTGATATTTAAAGAGCCTGCTGTTCTATGTTGCTGTGTTAGACGATGCTGGCTTGCTTACGTGTCTGTTTAGAGCTGCAATGTCCAATGTGATTGCCACCAGGCACATGTGGCTATTTAAATTCACATTATCTAAAATTGAAAAATATTCAATTTCTCAATTGTCCTAGCCAACCTTCAGATGCTCAGTGACCATACACGGTGGCCACCATATTGATAGAGCACAGATCAAGAACACTTCCACCACTGCAGAAAGGCCTTTTGGGCAATATTAAATTCAAAGACAGAAACCAGCCCCTCACTGAACCCAGTGAGGTAAGAGACGTGGCTGGATGGCTCACTGTGTCAGAGGAAGCGACAGGGGCGTCAGCCCCTCTCCCCCTGTGGTTTACACACACAGATACAGAGACACACACACACAGATACACACACAGACACAGACACACATAGACAGACACATAGACACACACACACACAGACACACACAGACACACATACAGACACACATACACACACACACAGATACACACACACAGATACACACACAGACACACATACACACACACAGACACACACAGAGATACACACACACACACACACAGACACACACATACACACACAGATACACACACAGACACACATACACACACACACAGATACACACACACAGACACACACAGACACACACACACACAGACACACACACAAAGACACATAGACACACACAGACACAAATACACACAGACACAGACACAGACACACAAACACACACAGACACCCAGACACACACAGACACACAAAGACACAGAGACACACAGACACAGACAGACAGACACACACACACACCCAGACACATAGACACACAGACACAAAGACACAGAGACACACACACACACCCCCTGCCAGCTCCCCCTGGGGCTCAGCTGCGGGCAAACCCCGACAGCCGTCCCTGAGGGAGTCCGGCAGCTCCGTCTCTGGGAGCCTCTGAGGGCGGGAAGGGAAGAGGACCTGAAGGACGTGAGTGGTAGAGGCTTTCCTCTTCCTCCTCCTCTTCTGTTCCTCTCTCCCGGAAGCACTCCTTTACCTCAGAACAGGGGTTGGCAAACCACAGCCCAGCGGCTAAGTCCAACAGACCTTGGGCCAAATTTGCCTGTGCCTAGTTTTTTTTTTATTTTTTCACTGAAGGACAACCGCTCCACACAATTTTGTTGCTTTTTGTCAAACCTCAACATGAATCAGCCACAGGTATACACATATCCCCCCTCCCCCCGAACCTCCCTCTGTGCCTAGTTTTATAAATAAAGTTTTATTGGAACACAGCTATGTCCTTTCACTTATATACTGACTCTGATGACCAGCATGGAGCTGGTCCACAAGGCTGAGAATATCCGCTACCTGGCGCTTACACCCCCTGACCTTGGGGCGCAGGCCCGCAGACAGACCTCTCTCCCTGTGCACAGCCGGCCCCTCGGAGCCTGTGGGCTGGCAGGTGCGGCCCTCACAGGTCATTCCCCTCCCCAGCTCGGAGGCCAGGGTGGAGACGAAAGGCCTGTGCCAGGCGCCGGGCCTGAGGGCTGTCCACAGGGGAGTCGTGCCCCACCCGAGGGGCGGGCGTGCAAAATGGAGCCAGGCCCCGACAGCCCGCAGACGAGGAGGTGGCCACAGAGATGATGGAAGGAGGGGTGAGAGGCTGCTGAAGACACAAGGCTGCCAGCACGCCCGCAGAGGACAGAACTGGTCCTGCGAACGGGCAGGTACTTACATTGTGCGTCATCGCAGAGGTTAAGGCACCATGTGACTCTCCCCCAGACAGGGTCTGCAATGAGGCAAAGTAAAAAAAGAAAACATCTCTGAGGAAAGAAGCTGAGGGTCCAGAAGTAGGAAGGGGCGGGCTGGAAGTGTGCCGATCATGTCTGAACAGGGAACAGCCCATACATGAGCCCTAGATTTTAAACTGTTCTGGTATGTCCATCAGTCACATACTAATAAGCTAAAGTCTATTTCTGAATGCAAGCCAATCCCTCTAGTGCGGTGTGATGGCGAAGAGAAATGCCGTCCTTAAAGTCTGAGTCCCGGATAGACCCAGAGGCTGGCTAAGCTGAACTCAGAGAGTCAGTCTCGGAAACAAGTGGAAAGCTGGGGTGGTCTAAGTGTGGGTGGCCCCAGTTCACCACCCGCTGCCCAGCCACACTCCGCTGTGGCTGCACCAGTCCTCAAGGCTGGGGCTGAAGTGCCAGGACCCGTCACGACAGGGAGGCAGCACCTCCGTGGCCTGTCTCCTGATGCGCGGGGCAGTGTCCACACAGACCCAGGCCCAGCCCTGGCAGAAGGCCCTGGCTGCCTGGACTAGTCCCCGCCCTTCCCTGAGCCCCAAGTCCCCATTTCCCCAAGCAAGAGGGTGCAGTCGATGAGGTCTGAGGCCATACGCTGAGCTAATCACAGAGAGCCTCAGCAAAGATGCTTTGAATGGAGTATGCGAAGGGAAGACAAACCAGTGATCCCTACAATCTCATTTGGTGAGAGAAACAGACTTTATTTTCCATCCTTATCCACGCCAGTTCCTTGGAAGGTCAAGGCCTCTGTTCAGAGAGCCAGCGGGACGTATTGTGAGCCAGGCACGCGCCCAGGCAACCAGAGCCCTGACCTCACACCTCGAGCGAGCTGCTCCCTGCAGCATCCATGTCCCGGGGCAGGCGTGCGGGCGACATCAGCAAACGGGCACACAATTGAGAGGTAGACGGGACAAAGTGGGGCCAGAGCTCTGGGAGCTCCTGGAGACACCCAGCCCTGCTGGAGGGGCGGCCGGGCTTGTACACCGGTTAACGCTTGCCCCGGGCTTGCTGCCATCCACACTCAGAGCTGCTTCAACACACAGAAGGAAGACAAAGTGCAGGGACGCTTATCGACGAAAACCACGTGAGAAATGAGTGTTCAGAGGACAAGGCTGAGGGAAAGTCTGGTCCCTTTCAGCACCAGGCTCTGCTGGTGAGTCCTCTAGAAACCCTTCCACGGTGGACGTCACACAGCCCCCGCAGTCTGGAGCACCGCTCCACAGCCCGTACCTTTTCATCTCTGCCTGGCGCCCTCTCAGCCTTCAGGCTTTCGATTTCCCGCTGCAGCCGTGCCATCTCCTCCTTTAAAAGTAATACAAACACTTACAAGGTCTGGACAGGCTAGTAACTAGATGTAACGACTTAACCTTGATCTAGAATCTCATTTTCACACTTTGTGAGTTTATGTGGGGACAAGAAGTCCATAGAGAACTTGCCCCCAGGCCCCTGATTTTCAGCCTGGGAACGTCTTTTCAGCCGTACCTCCGTCAGAAGGGGTCTTTCTTCCCAAAGGGTGGGTGAGGCTTGTACTAATCACTGGGGCATGGAACGAATGAGTGGCTTAGAGTCAGTCCCAAGCCTCCTCTTTTTCAGCTCGTCTCCACCTTTCCTGGGACCTTCCAGCCTGGAGTCCTGCCTCATCCAGCCCTCCTCCACTTGCCACCCTCACCTGCTTAAGTCAGACATAGCTTCCAGAGGGCTCCCAGGCCACAGCGGCCTCTCTCCCCTGGACTCACAGAACCCAGCCCTCTTTCCCGTCTCCCACGTGGTCACCTGTGCACATTATCACTCCCACTCTTGGACCCTGTGACACAGAGCCATGTCAGGATCTTAGGGCGGCCCTGGTTTCATAAGATACTGCGCCCTTTGTAGAACTTTTCTTTTAAATACATTTGTAAATTAGAAAACATTGTTAGACTGTGCTCTCAGTTTGGGGTCTGGCACACAGAGTTACTCCTCCAAGGCATCTCTGGTGTCCTCCGATCACTTTATCACAGCACTCTACTCCTCTCGCACACCACTGCGTGCCCGCTGGAGGTCCTGGAGAGGACCTCCTACCACACCTGGAGAGGACCCCCAGCCACACCAGGGGAGGGAAAGCAGGAGACTGTCCGAGAATCTCTGTTGACATCTGATGACACCGGGCAACACTTACTCGACAGTGTGCTTTAAACTCCTGTTCCTGGCTTTTCAGATTTTCATTCATGGCTACAAGGGCTCTCAAGTTCTGCAGGATGCTGAAAAGACCAAAAAACAACTGACTTTCAACAAACCACTATGATTTTATGAATCATAGCTAAAACCAAGACCCTAGGAAAAAGGAACTTTTTTCTTAATTTCCTTTGTCTCTTCCAAGAGTGTCTAATGGGCTTCCCACCAATGTTAACGACCACCATTTAACAGACATTATTATTCATCTACAAGCTGAGTCCATCAGGTCACATTCAAACAAACGTTACAGAATCCAGAATTAATCAACTGCAGAAACATCAATGTGTTTTGAGATTACTGTATATTTTTAATGATACCAACTACTGAAGACTCAGCACAGAATCATAATTTTAATTCCCATTTAAAATTTTAAATGTAAATGCTTATATTTAATTTAAATTGTCTAAAGACAATTAATTTAAAAGAAAAACGACCCACAACCCAGTGTTGGCAAAAAAAGACATTTTCATTCTTGAAGGACAGGGTAAGATCAGTGCTGTTAAAACCTGGCAACCATGATTGACTCCAAGGGAGAAGGACTGGGTAGCTGGGGGCAGGGGCGGGAGAAGACTTTTCAGTGTATGTCTTTTTGAACCTTGCATGTATTACTTACTTTCTAAACTTACTTTCTAAAAACGAGAAAACAGACAAAACAAAATACAAAACACAGCTGCTCCTGACCCAGGGGGAAGCGGGAGGAAGAGGAAGAAGGCAGCCCTGGATCAGGATCAGCAGTGAAGTAACTGGCAGAACGGTGCCAGCAGCCATGACCTGGGCTCCTCAGCCCTGTTCTCCACCCACCAGCCACACTCACAGAGAAAATAAATCCCACGTGTTGAGGTCTCCTACCTCGGATCGGCTTTGGCCTCTATCTTCTCGAGGGCTGTCTGCTCTTTGTCCAGTTTCTCGCTGTGACCCTTGAGCTATGAGAGAGAAGGAGGCATGCTGCTGGAGACCTGCCAGGACAGGAGGCAAGGGCTTCCGTTCCCCCGCCTGGCCCACACCTGAGCCCTCTCTAGACAGGTGGCCCAGCCCACCGCACACGGCCGTGCATTGAGAAAACAGGTGGACCAGAGGCACAGGATGGGGCTGGAGGGACCGTACAGAAAGATCAAAACCACAGCCTTCCTGACAACGTGCTGTGCGTTAAAAGAAACCTTGGCGATACCTTTAAATCACAGCTGCAAGTGGGTGGAAAGCCAAAGTAATGCTGACAGCAGGTGCCTTTCAGTGGGAAGAGGTAAATAAAAGCAGCAGCCATGAGACAGACCTGGGTTTCAACCTCAGGATACCACTGCTGGGGCTACTCACAGGGGCAGGGTTAACTCTCCTATCTTGAAAAACTCCATTTTCTTTCTCTGAGTCAGTGGAGACTTTAAAAAGCAAACTTTAAGGAAACTCAGATTTTAATTTTCAAGGTGTGTAGATCTACCGTACAATAGACAATTAAGCTGCTATTAAAAAAGAATAAACAGTTCTTTTATGATGATCTCTAACATTTACTGTAAGTTGAAGAAAACATATAAAATCATGACTCCAATGTGCATCAAAGAAGGTATACACGTGTACATCTTTTATACACATGCAGTAAAGAACCCAGATGTTATTTGTATATGCACAAAAATTCCTTGAAAAGATTCACAAGTGATTGGTTACCCTCTAGATAGAGTAGCTGCTTGGGTTACAGGGGGACACCCTTTGTACTTTTTGAATTTTGAACTATGTGAATGTGTTACCTATTAAAAAAAAAAAAAGTTAAAGAACTTCCAAGAGTCCTAGCTGAGAAGTGGCAGCAAGCCCTTCTTTTACAAGTCCTGGGAAGTTCAGGTGATTCTGTTTGATGACAGGAGCGGGCACCTTGGGGACAAGAAAGATGGTAGCAGATAAGACCGGCCAGTGGAGGACCACGTGTGGATCCGGCAGGCGTGGGAAGAACTGGGTGGCAGGACTGGGGTCTGCGTCAGGAACAGCCAGCGGGCGGTGCAGTGAAGCCTGCTTCCCTTAACCCAAGAGCTGGTGTGGGTTTCCCAGAGGCAGGACTGCTCCCAGAGAGCTGGCCAGACTCAGGCAGAGGGGCAGTGTCCTGACCCCAAACATCAGTTACCACTGGCAGATCCCACTGAACAGTAGGACCCCCCCCCCCCTTCCAAAACAGTTACGTGAAGCATGCTGCATAAAATGAATACAGAATCCACACAGGTGATAACAGAAAATTTCAGAATCACAAGTAAGCACACCATCAAGAATGATCACGTATTTTAAGAAAGACAAAACTGTAAAAATGGCATCAACTCAACAAATGGATCCTGATCTGAGCGGATAGTTTGTAGGTTAAGGAAAACTTTAGACACAATCAGTGCCCTTGGGCTGGAGAGGATCCTCCATATACAAAAAGGAATCAACCTCCACATAAGAAATTAAAGTTGTGACTGCTGAAATTAAAAAGCGCACAGGTGAGAAGGGACCCCCACTGATGCAGGGGCCCACAGCACCTGCCCCACACGTCAGGGCTGCCATCCACCCTCTACCTTCCACACCCTGCTTTATTTTCCTAAGTTTCCAGGGAAGGCAGGTTTTCCCTGATTTCCAGTGCCACTAGGTTTTGCTGAAGAGGTAAAACCTGGCAGACTGGCATGGAAGGGCTCAGAGTGCTCATGTGCCCAGTCCTTCCTGGAACAGATAAGGAGACCAAGGCCCAAAGGCAGAGCTCATTACTGATTCAGGGTCTTCAGTATTTTGACCAAATCAGGCTTCTTCCTACATTGTTCAGCACAGCCTCCTATTTTTCTAGGTAAGAATTAGTTTGACTGCCTGACTAAATGGCAGGCTCCCTGAGAGGTCATGGGGCCAGGTCCCTAGCACTGGAATCTGCACGGCCTTTCTGCCTCAGTTTCTCCAGCAGCACAGCAGAGGTGTGCTGCCAGAGTTGACAGGACGATTCAATGAAAACACAAACGACGTGCCCACAGCACAGCCAGCACATCGAAATGTTGGCTGCTACTATCATGTGAGGACAGGGATAGCATCTCCTATTATTAGCTTAATTCTAAACTTCCACCTTTCTAGCACATGCAAGGATTCAAAAAACTTTTTAAATTTTTTTAATTGAAGGATAATTGCTTTGCAGAATTTTGTTTTCTGTCAAACCTCAACATGAATCAGGCATATATATATATATATATATATATATATATATATATACCCTCCATTTTGAAACTCCCTCTCATCTCCTGCCCCATGCTATCCATCTAGATTGATACAGAGCCCCTGTTTGAGTTTCCCAAGCCACAGAGCAAATTTCCACGGGCTATCTATTTTACATATGGCAATATAAGTTTCAATGTTATTCTTTCCATACATCTCACCCTCTCCTCTCCCCATGTCCATAAGTCTATTCTCTATGTCCGTTTCTCCATTGCTGCCCTGAGAATAAATTCTTCAGTACCATTATTCTAGATTCTGTATACATGTGTTAGAATACAGTATTTCTCTTTCTGACTTACTTCACTCTGTATAATGGGCTCTAGTTTCATCCACCTCATTAGAACTGACTCAAGTGCATTCCTTTTTATGTCTGAGTAATATTCCATTGTGTATATGTACCTCAATTCTTTATCCATTCATCTGTCAATGGGCATCTAGGTTGCTTCCATGTTCTAGCTATTGTAAATAGTGCTGCAATGAATAATGGGATACACGTGTCTCTTTCAATTTTGGTTTCCTTAGGGTATATGCCAAGGAGTGGGATTGCTGGGTCATATGCTGGTTTTATTCCCAGTTTTTTAAGGAATCTCCATACTATCTTCCAGACTGACTGTATCAATTTATATTCCCACCAACAGTGCAAAAGTATTCCTTCTTCTCCACATCCTCTCCAGCATTTATTGTTTGTAGATTTTTTGATGATGGCCATCCTGACCGGTGTGAAGTGATATCTCATTGTAGTTTTGATTCGCATGATGTTTTTGAACTATGGTGTTGGAGAGGACTCTTGAGAATCCCTTGGACTCCAAGGAGAGCCAACCAGTCCATCCTAAAAGAGATCAGTCCTGGGTTCACTGGAAGGACTGATGCTGAAGCTGAAACTCCAGTACTTTGGCCACCTCATGTGAAGAATTGACTCATTGGAAAAAGACCCTGATGCTGGGACAGATTGGGGGCAGGAGGAGAAGGGGATGGCAGAGGATGAGATGGTTGGATGGCATCACCAACTTGATGGACATGGGTTTGAGTAAACTCCGGGAGTTGGTGATCGATAGGGAGGCCTGGCGTGCTGCGATTCATGGGGTCGCAAAGAGTCAGACATGACTGAGCGACTGAACTGAACTGAATAATGAGTGGTGTTGACCATCTTTTCATGTGTTTGTTAGCCATCTGTATGTCTTCTTTGGAGAAATGTCTGTTTAGGTCTTTTTCCCACTTTTTGATTGGGTTGTTTGTTTTTCTGGTATTGAGTTGTATGAGCTGCTTATATATTTTGGAAATTAATCCTTTGTCAGTTGTTTCATTTTCTATTATTTCCTCCCATTCTGAGGGTTGTCTTTTCACCTTGCTTATAGTTTCCTTTGCTGTGCAAAAGCTTTTAAGTTTAATCAGGTCCCACTTGTTTACTTTTGTTTTTATTTCTATTATTCTAGGAGGTGGGGCATAGAGGATATTGCTTTGATTTATGTCATTGATTGTTCTGCCTACGTTTTCCTCTAAGAGTTTTATAGTTTCTGCTCTTACATTTAGCTAACGCATTTGGAGTTTATCTTTGTGTATGGTGTTAGGAAGTGTCCCAAGTTTGTTCTTTCACATGTAGCTGTCCAGTTTTCCCAGCACCATTTATTGAAGAGGCTGTCTTTGCCCCATTTTATATTCTTGACTCCTTTGTCAAAACTAAGGTACCCACAGGTACAAGGGTTTATTTCTGGGCTTTCCATCCTGTTCCATTGCTCTATGTTTCTGTTTCTGGGCCAGCACCATACAGTCTTGCTGACTGCAGCTTTGCAGTATAGCCTGAAATCAGGAAGGTGGATTTCTCCAGCTCCAGTCTTCTTTCTCATGACTGCTTTGGCTACTCGGGGTCTTTTGTGTTTCCATACGAACTGTGAAATTTTTTGTTCTAGTTCTGTGAAAAATGCCTTTGGTAATTTGATATGGGTAGTGCTGAATCTGTAGATTGCATTTGGTAATATGTTATTTTTACAATATTGATTCCTCCTATCAAGAAACATGGAATATCTCTCTATCTGTTTATGTCATCTTTGATTTCTTTCATTAATGTCTTATAATTTTCTGTGTACAGTTCTTTCGTCTCCTTAGGTAAGTTTATTCCTAGACACTTTATTCTTTTTGTTGCAATGGTGAATGGGATTGACTCCTTAATTTCTCTTTCTGATTTTTCATTGTTAGTATATAGAAATGGAAGTGATTTCTGTGTATTGATTTTATATCCTGCAACTTTGCTAAATTCACTAATTAGCTCTAGTAATTTTCTGTTACTATTTTTAGGGTTTTCTATGTACAGCATCATGTCATCTGCAAACAGTGAAAGCTTTACTTCTTCTTTTCTGATCTGGATTTCTTTTCTTTCTTTTTCTTCTCTGATTGCTGTTGCTAGGACTTTCAGAACTATGTTTCATAATACTGGTGAAAGTGGACACCCTTGTCTTGTTTCTGATCTTAGGGGGAATGCTTTCAGTTTTTCATCGAGAATAATGTTTGCTGTAGGCTTACCATATATAGCCTTTACTATGTTGAGGTAGGCTCCTTCTAAGCCCATTTTCTGAAGAGTTTTAATCATAAGTGGGTGCTGAATTTTGTCAAAGGCTTTTTCTGCATCTGTTGATATTATCATGTGGTTTCTATCTTTCAACTTGTTAATACAGTGTATCACATTGATTGATTTGCATATATTGAAGAATCCTTGCATTCCTGTAGCAAGCCCAACTTGATCATGGTGTAGATCTTTCTTCTTCTCTTGTATTTCTCGGCTATATAAGCCCGTTTAACATTTGCTGTAAACCTGCTTTGGTGGTACTGAACTCTCTTAACTTTTGCTTGTCTGAAAAGTTTTTTATTTCTCCATCAATTTTGAATGATATCCTTGCCAGGAACTGTAATCTTGGTTGTAGATGTTTCCATCTCAATACTTTAAATATATCCTGCCATTCCCCTCTGGCCTGCAGAGTTTCTGCTGAAAGATCAGCTGGTAAGCATATGGGGTTTCCCTCATATGTTACTTGTTGCTTCTCCTTGCTGCTTTTAATGCTCTTTCTTTGTGTTTAGTCTTTATTAGTTTATGTGTCTTGGTGTGTTTCTATTTGGGTTTATCCTGCATGGGATTCTTTGTGCCTCTTGGACTTGACTATTTCCTTTTCCATGTTGGGGAAATTTTCAACTATAATCTCTTCAAAAATTTTCTCATACCCTTTCTTTTTCTCCTCTTCTTCTGGGACCCCTATAATTCGAATGTTGGTGCGTGTGATATAGTCCCAGAGGTCTCTGAGACTATCCTCAGTTCTTTTCATTCTTCTTACTTTATTCTGCTCTTCAGAAGTTATTTCCCCCATTTTATCTTCCAGCTTAATGATTCATTCTTCTGCTTCAGATATTCTGCTACTGATTCCTTCTAGAGTATTTTTAATTTCATTAATTGTGTTGTTTGTCTCTGCATGTTTATTCTTTAATTCTTCTTGGTCTTTGTTAATTGATTCTTGAATTTTCTCCATTTTGTTTTCAAGGTTTTTGATCATCCTTACTATCATTATTCTGAATTCTTTTTCAGGTAGTTTGCCTATTTCCTCTTCATTTATTTAGACTTCTGTGTTTCTAGTTTATTCCTTCATTTGGGTGGTATTTCTCTGCCTTTTCATTATTATTTTTTTTAACTGATTGTGTTTGAGGTCTTCTTTTCCCAGGTTTCAAGGTTGAATTCTTTCTTTCTTTTGGTTTTTGCCCTCCTAAGGTTGGTCCAGTGGTTTGTGTAAGCTTCGTACAGGGTGAGAGTTGTGCTGAATTTTTGTTTTTCCTCTGATGGGCAAGGCAGAGTGAGGTGGTGATCCTGTCAGCTGATATGGTTTGTATTTTTGTTTTGTTTGTTGTTTAGATGAGGCGTCCTGCACAGGGTGCTACTGTGGTTGGGTGATGCCGGCTCTTATATTCAAGTGGTTTCCTTTGTGTGAGTTCTCACGATTTGATACTTCCTAGGGTTAGTTCTCTGGTAGTCTAGGGCCTTAGAGTCAGTGCTCCTACTCCAAAGGCTCAGGGCTTCATCTGTCTCCAAAGACCAGCTTAGATTCAATCTACCAAGAGCAATTTCACCCAAAATGAAAGGGCCTTTACTTGAGTTCCAAAAGCCAGTATACAAGAACACAGTGGAGATCTCTGACTCAGCAGAAACCAGTGCTGTGCCCCCAGCCTGAGCCACGAGCCCTTAGAAAGTAAATAGAAACACTGAGAGCTGGGAATCTTGGAAGAGCCTGGAAACTAAAGCTCAAAAAATATTTGATTCAGTGTTTAATACCAAAAGTGACTTGACAGCCACTCAGGATTTTATCAAGATGTTCTGCCTTGAATGTCTTCCAGACTGTTATACAAAGACGGGTCTACGACTTGGCACCCTTTAAGCCAGGACTGTGGAGTGTGCACAGGAGGACAGCGGCAGGGGTTCCACCAAGGAGCTTGCCACCTGGTCGAAAGGAGTGAAGCCACAGAGCAGCGTGAAGAAAGCTGATGTGTCCAAATGCAACACGGGCATCTTTAGAAAGAATTTTAAAAAACTTCTCTAATTTGTCATCCGCATGCCTGTCCTTCTCAAACATTCTGACAGTAACTGAAGAGACCAGTCCAGGTCAGAATTACAAAGCTTTGTCAGGTTTATAACAAGGCAGAGAACTAAGTGCTGCACAATGCTAGAGAAATTACCATTTCAAAAGTGTCGATTTCATGTGAAATTAAAAAAATAAAAAAATAGCGACTGTCTTGGCTTCAGAAATGTCTCTGAAGATCAGTCCCGTTTCCACATGGTCCAGAAAGTACTAGGTGGGGACCTCGCAGGGACAGCTGTCGCCTGAGCACCAAAATCACAGAGAAGAGAGCTTTTCAGACCCGGATGAGGACTAGCTTTCTGTAGAAACAGGGACAGAAATAGAAAGACCTAAACTTCCCTCATGCCAGAGCACCTTGTGTATTTGCTTTCCTCGCCTGGTTTCCTAGGTAATTGGAAGTGATGGGTAAGCTATGCTGTGGAGGACAGCACCATTGCAATCTGGGTTAGGAAATGGATTATGGGGTCAAAACAGACTTACAAATCCCTTTTCCTCCAGAGATTCCCTCCCCCATTCTACCAGGAGACCACTGGCAATTCTAAACAACAAATTATATCCTCTGTAGTTTTGTCATTTTATAAAAAGAAACCTCACTCTCCAGGAATCCAGTGTTCTGCTACTTTCTCCAGCCTGTGGCTTGGGGAGCAGGGGTCATTTACCGTGAATGATCTTCTGCGTTCTTTCATATGGCCACCCTGCTTGTCAGGCCCTCTGTCTTCAGGAAGCTTTCCTGACCCTTGCAGCTCACAACAATCTTCCCCTCCTCCCAAGACCCTCATGGTTTAAAACATGGTAGCATGGATAAACATGGCTAGAGACATGCTACTGTGTGACTGTCCTTTGTCCAGATGGACCTGAGCCCTGAGAAAGAGATCGTGACCCCTCCACATGGACTGATGATGTGAGTGTCCCGTTGGTAGTGCATGTCAAACAATTCCCAACAAGACCCATGGAGGAAGGAAATCTGCTCACCTCGGTCAGGGTTTTCTTTTTTCCTTCATATTTGGCTTGTAGGTCAGTACGACTTGCCTGCAGCTGTAAATGAAAGATAAAGACATCTGCTCTCATTTGAGTCTCACGACAGCACAGATACTGGTGGTATCCACATTTCACAGATGAGACAATGGAAACTCAGAAAGATTTAAGCTGAGCAAATGTGGACATTTTAGATTCAATTAGCACCAACCATGTGTCAGGTGATGTACTAGGTATTCTGCATGAATCCTAACAAAGAATTCTTACATTCAATGGAAAAAGACATTATTCTTATTTAACAGATGAGAACGTAAAGATTCAGAAGAGGTAAATCACTAAAGTTTCATAGTTTGTAACTGATAAAGCTTAGATTCAAATTTAGGTCTGACTTTACTACATGGTTACAATCAATTCAGTTAATGAACTTGCTGGTTCACAGGACACAAACTGCACTGAAGCACTCAAGAATCTAACACAAAATTTGTGTGTGCATGCTCAGCTGCTCAGCACGCGACTCTTTGCGACCCCATGAACTGCAGCCTGCCAGGCTCCTCTGTCCATGGGATTTCCCAGGCAAGAACACTGGAGTGAGTTACCATTTCATACTCCAGGGGATCTTCCCAAGCCAGAGACTGACTCCGCATCTCTCATGTCTCCTGCATTGGCAGGGGGATTCTCTACCACCGTGCCACCTGGGAAGCCCTAGCATAAAATCTGACCGGAAGGCAAACAATGCCAGATTGGAGAAAGGAGTCAGGACTTCAATGAATAGAAAGAAGGTGAATTACTTTTACTGCACAAAATTATACAATCATAACTTACATCTCAAAAATGTCATTTCCCTTTTCTTTACCAAAAAGGTGTATCCCATGCTGTCTATGAACTTTTAGATATCTGAAAATATTCTATTCAAAGCTCAAAGGGTTGTACATTTCTACTTTTGAAAAGGGAATGTGGTAGAAAACCACAGTTAGACTAATCAGACACTTTGTCTGTTACCTGCATACAAATTAACAATGAGAAATTATATCTTATGTCTCAACAATTATTTCAAAGTAACTCAGCCCATTAAAAAATATATATTCATTTATTTACTGACTGCGCCATACCGCTTGTGAGACCTTAGTTCCCAGCTAGGGATTGAACCCAGGCCCCAGAAGATAGAGCAGAGTCCTACCCACTGGACTTCCAGGGAATTTTCAACTTGGCCCATGTTTGAGCCTGTAAGCAACCTATTAGAATTATATCACCTACAGATGTAATTAGAATTACATTACCTACATCATCATTACTCCTAAATCATGCTTCAAGTTACCAGTCTTCATGACTGATGTGTTTCCAGCCAGGCATCTCAGGAAGTCGCCGCAAGCAGAGGGCAGAAAAGATAAACGTAGGGAAAGCTGGGAGCTTTGGCCTTTCACTTTGCAAAGGGAGCCATGTGCGCACTGAAGACTCCTATTAAACTATCGGTATCACTGGTGGATGAGAGTATTTCTGGAGAAAGTTTGTTTTTCTCTTGAAATCCTAATGGTTTAACTCTTGAAGCTCCAGGAGGAGATCCTTCCATTTCCCACCTGTTTCACCCACCTTTCTGTACCACCCCCCAACCTTGTACCCACCCACTCGTCTGACATTTACCCAAGGCTCTGCTCAAATGAGGTGTACGGGAGAAGACAAAGAACACAGCACAAACCTTGCCCCTCAAGTTGCTAAACTAGTAAGCTGAGGATTAAAGTATGAGAAGAGCTTGGTCAGAGACAGGCCTGGGGAAGCCAAGGAAAGAGTCAGTTTGCTCATCAAGGAAGGCTTCACCGACAAAGACCCATGGGGGCTGGATCCTGGCAGGGAAGTAGGAACTTGCTAAAGGGAAGATTTTTCTCTTCTCTTTAATTTAACTAAACTAATAAGAGCTTTCTTCATCTTTTCTCTAACAGGAACTGTCCCAGTAGCTAAGATAAGTTTTTGCCTTGCTGGAGTCTTCCATGATTCTCCCACCCCCATCTTCTTATTCATCATGAAACCCTATATTGACCCCCCAACACTTAGCCCACCGGTTAACACATCCTTTGGTTCCTCCTCCCTCAATCTCAGGTTTCTTGTCAGTTAGCTACTAGTTGCCTTCCTATTCTCTGCCCTTATAGCACATCCCCCTGTTGGGCCATGAGATGTTCTTCATTCCTTCCGTTATCGTACTCCTCTTCCCATCTCTCTGTGGGCTAAGACTCTGTGGCTCCCACTAAGGCTGCGGTGTATCCCAGTTGCCTTCGATCTACATGACCTTACAGGAGATCATCTTGGATTTAAAGAGTCTGGATTTTCTCATATACTATTCTGTGTAGAAGTGTGAACTAGTAAAATAATTGGTGAATAATTTGACAGTTTCTAGAAAAACTGAAAATGCATATAGTTTTTGATCCAGCAGTTTCACGTCCTAAAATCCATTTTACAGAAATATTTAATATATTTGCACAAATATGACTGTACAAAGATGTTCATCATAGCATAAACTTAAAACTGGGAAAAAAAATCTTGGGAAAAAACCTTTATGAATAGAGGAACAGGCTAACTAAGCCACAGCACAGATGTACTATGTCACACCAGGCAGCATCAGAAAGAATGAGGCAGAGCTACATGCGCCAGTCTCGGCTCCACTGCTAACAAGCTGTGTGACCCCAGACAACACTACTTCACTCCTCTCTGTGTCTCGGGTTCCGTGTAAATGAGAATAATAATAGTACCTCCTTCACAAGGATGTTATGTGAATTGAATGAGTTAATTATGAAAAGCAGCTTGTAGTTACTCTAAAAAGTCCTTTTTAGTCATTACTATTACTGCTGCCGCTAAGTTGCTTCAGTTGTGTCCGACTCTGTGCAACCCCATAGACGGCAGGCAGCCCACCAGACTCCCCCGTCCCTCGGATTCTCTAGGCAAGAACACTGGAGTGGGTTGCCATTTCTGTCTCCATTACTATTACTATTATGTGATAAAATAAGTGAAAACCAAACTCAGTTTTTATAACCAAACAACCCCCCCCCCCCCCACCCAGCTGAATAAGAATATTTAAGAGCTTGTAAAGCCTAGAAAAATGGGTTACTTTAAGGAGTGGGACTGGATGAGTGCCAGGAGAGTCTCATTTTTAGCTTCATACAGTTCCATAGTAGCTGGTTTATTTACATGGAACTTGGATTATCCCTATAATCTAAAAAAAGGCGGCTGAAGCATTTAAAGTGATAAAGACAGAAAAGAACGATGGCCTATGTCTTTCTATCACTACCTCCAGACCCTGAGAGCAGAGATCTTTCTTTCACCACCATGGCCTATTTCAGTGCTCAGCACAGTGGTGCTCAGCTAATCTGTGTGAATTAATTAATTAATGTTCTTTTTGCCCTGTGATCTTCTTTTAGAACAGAGGTTGTGAAATGTTCTCTGTAGAGACCAGGTGGAAAAATATTTAAGGTTTTGTAGTCTCAATTCTCCCACTGAGGCTTGAAAAGTAGCCACAGAAAATATGTAAACAAATACATATGCATAATTTCAATAAAACTATTAATATTTACAGAAACAGGCTTCCCAGGTGGCTCAGTGGTAAAGAATTTGCCTGCCAATGCAGGAGACACAGGTTCAATTCCTGAGTTGGGAAGATCCCTGATGTAGGAAATGGCAACAACCCACTCCAGTATTCTTGCCTGGAAAACTCCATGGACAGAGGAGACTGGCAGGCTACCATTCATGGAGTCGCAAAGAGTTGGACATGACTGAGTGACTGGCATGCATGCATGCCTTTACAAAAACAGGTGGAGGCTGGATTGCGCAAGGGCCAGATTGCATCGCTCCCCTGTTCCACAGCCTCCTTTGATCTTTCTGACACTTCTTGAAGAATGGCTTTATTTCACTTGAATGAATTATGAAAAGAAGACACCAACCTCTTCCAGTTGTTTGGTCTTCTGCAGAATCTGCTTGTTCAAGGAAGTGACTTTTCGCCGATGTAGTTGGGAGGTCCCTAACTTTTCTGGACTTTCTTCAGCTGACAGTTCAGACTGCTGTGGGAAACAAACAGAAGAACCAAAGGATTTAATTAATTAGCCCACTAATCAGCCTGCCTCATCTGGGAGGAACGCTGCTGGGCAGATGGCCACAACCAAGCCCATGGGGCCCCGGGTCCTGTGTAAAACTCACTCCAGAGAAGACTGTGACACAATGACCAAAGGCCATATTGAGAGGATCTACATTTCTGGGAAAGCAAACAGCATGTGCAGAAGCACAGGGATATATAATGGGTTCGGCTGATAATTACATAAGTAATAGGATCTCAAATATGAAGAAAAAACACAGTCATCTTAATATCTATTTGAGATTATTATGGAGCTATCAAAAATGATGAACTGATTCACTTTCATCAAAGTATTACAAGTGTATGGTTAAAGAGTTTAACCATTCAGTAGCACTTATAATGAAAAGAAACCGCATTTCAAAGTATTCCCCCATCCATGGGACCATTTATTTCTGTTCTTCTGGTGTTCACAGAGGATAGATTTGAAAGGGGTGAGTGTTGATGAGAGAGACCAGGAGAAAGATCCTGAAACTCTGTAAAATGATAAGAGGATGCAGAAGAAGAGCTGGACAGGACATAGAGACTGTCAGGACTGGAGGGGAGGAAGGGAGAGACTTCTGGTTGGGGTGATGAGATGACTGTAGCAACAATACCCAGAAACTCTGCAAACAAGGAGGCAGCTTGGCGCAGATGATGAAAACAAACACTTGCCTCAAGACCCCAGAGGGAAGCCCCAGGAAGAATAAACAAGAAAGATGACCCTATTCCAACAGGAGTCCCTAAAACCTGTCTAGGGTGATCACAGACTAGACAGCTTCACTTACCTGCCAATGAACACCCATTATAGCCACACTGCCTTCTTTACTGGAAACATCCCAATTCCAATCTAATCACTGGTCTGAAGCTCAAGTGCAACAAAACTAATTGAATATTTGATTCTCCCTGCATGTTTTAACAGTGATCATGAGTTTGAAAGTTATGGGGAAGAGACAGAAATGTGAAAAGGAGGAATTGGATGGTACAGTCACCGTTTATATTGGTTAAGAATTTCCCTGAATAATTCAGAGGCACCATTAACAGATGATGAGTGTTTCTGCAGCTTAACGACTCTGGAGATGGGAGACAACCAGCAGGATGTGACTGCCTAAAGTGGCAAGAAAATCATTTTCCATCTTGTGAGCTGCGAGGCCGTAAAGGAAACAGAAAAAATAAGCATTTGGTATTACAACACAGCTAGCCCTTACACCTGAAATTTTGGGGAAATGTCAACTAACATACTCCAGCTTATCTGAATTTCTTCAAATTGGAGTTAACTTTTAAAAATGTAACTTTGGGCACATCAAGATATTTACCACCTGTAGTCGAGGGAAGAACTATTTCTGAAAATTATTTGAGAGTATAAAAAAAGGGGGGATTAATCCTTTGTCTGTTTCTTCGTTTGCTATTATTTTCTCCCATTCTGAAGGCTGTCTTTTCACCTTGCTTATAGTTTCCTTTGTTGTGCAAAAGCTTTTAAGTTTAATTAGGTCTCATTTATTTTTGCTTTTATTTCCAATATTCTGGGTCATAGAGGATCTTGCTGTGATTTATGTTGGAGAGTGTTTTGCCTATGTTCTCCTCTAGGAGTTTTATAGTTTCTGGTCTTACATTTAGATCTTTAATCCATTTTCAGTTTATTTTGTGTATGGTGTTAGAAAGTGTTCTAGTTTCATTCGTTTACAAGTGGTTGACCAGTTTTCCCAGCACCACCCCACTCCTGGGCATACACACCAAGGAAACCAGAACTGAAAGAGACACATGTACCCCAATGTTCATTGCAGCACTGTTTATAATAGCCAGGACATGGAAGCAGCCTAGATGCCCATCAGGAAACGAATGGATAAGAAAGGTGTGGTACATCTACACAATGGAATATTACTCAGCCATTAAAAAGAATACATTTGAATCAGTTCTAATGAGATGGATGAAACTGGAGCCCATTATACAGTGAAGTAAGCCAGAAAAATAAACACCAATGCAGTATACTAACGCATATATATAAAATTTAGAAAGATGGTAATGATAACCCTATATACAAGACAGAAAAAGAGACACAGATGTATAGAACTGACTTTTGGACTCTGGGAGAATGTGAGGGTGGGATGATCTGAGAGAACAGCATCAAAACATGTATATTATCAAATGTGCAATAGATCGCCAGTCCAGCTTGGATGCATGAGACAAGTGCTTGGAGCTGGTGCACTGGGATGACCCAGAGGGGTGGGATAGGGAGGGAGGTGGGAGCCGGGTTCAGGATGGTGAACACATGTAAATCTATGGCTGATTCATGTCAATGTATGGCAAAAACCACTACAATACTGTAAAGTAATTAGCCTCCAACTAATAAAGATAAATGTGGAAAAAAATTAAAAGAAAAAAGGGGGGGGGAGGAAAGAGCACTTCTCGATTTTCAAGCCACTTGTCAGAAACATAATTATAATTAATTACTGTCAGGAAGCATTTAACAAGGGGCTTCCGGTGTGCAGTTTTGGATCTGTCAGGAATCCTTTGGTCCTTATTAATTCCTGAATATTCAGGAATTAGGAGGAGAGGCACGCCTTTCCTGGGGCTGAGGAATCCAGGCATTTCCTTTGTTAGTTTCTCATTATGGTGATAAGTACCCTCTTCTCTCTTTAATAGGGATCGCCTTGTGTTTTGTAAGTCTGGGATTTTAATCTTTACCTTTGCTAAGAATAACTACCTTGTAAGACAGTATATATGCCCACACCATGCTGCTTAAAACACTTTTGCTTCATCAGAGCTTCGGTCCCTGTGTCTTTCTTTCTTTCTCTCTCTCTCTCTCTCTATATATATATATATCTATTTCTGGCTGATTCCCTGGAGCGCGAAAGCCGGCTGCAAAACCCAGGGAATATTAACCTCTTTCCTTCTTTCACTCTCTCATCGTCGACTCCAGACCACCAGGTTCCAGTCCAATAAAGGACCACCAAATTATATCTTGGGCTTCACAGGTGGCTCAGTGATAAAGAATCCACCTGACAAAGCAGGGGATGCAGGAATCAGGGGTTCAATTCTTGGGTCATGGATGCCCTGGAGAAGGAAATGGCAACCCACTCCAGTGTTCTTGCCTGGAAAATTCCATGGATGGAAAAGTCTGAAGGGCTATAGTCCATACAGTCACAAAGAGTCGGACGTGACCGAGTATGCACACAGGCAATCTCACCAGTTAAATCTTGTCCATTTTGACTGCATCATCTTGAACTATGTTATCAATTTGTCCACTTAGCTTGTTATATATTTAGTAGCTTTCTTCCTCCTCCGACTGTCCTTCTGCCTCTGGATCAGCCAAGCTATGGGCAAGTGGGCTGCAGAGTATCCCCGTCTTGGTGACCTCTCAGCAAGACCTTCTCCAGTCCGCAGGGGTGAGGGGGTAGGGATGCACACATTCAGGGCTATTCTGTACCTCTGGCATGAGTTGCATGATGTGTCTAATTCTCAGCACGCTTTCCTGCTGGTAAACTGCTTTTATGGCCGAGGTCCCGACTACATTTTTCACCTAGCTTTCACACCCTCTTATCAGTGTACCTGGCAACACACACAGCTTTGTTTGAAACTGTGCCTTTGACACTTTCAAGAAACTTTCTTACAGGAAAATCAGTAGCTATCCTGCTATCTGGAAAGAGGTCTTCCAGGCTCACTGGCTCTCCTGCTCTCTCTCACTTTAATTTTTAGTCACATGGTTCTTTCAGATCCTTTCAGGGTTCTTTGAGGTCAAAATCCTTTTCACAATGATACTAAGATATGATTTTTTTTCTCTCATTCTCTCATGATCATACATTGAAATTTTCCAGCTGCTATATGACATGTGATGGTATCACTGCTCTGATGCCAGTGTGTAACACATTCATCATTATTATCTGTAAGTGAATTAATATGTAAGCTTTTAGGACCTCCTCAGAAAGTTTTAGCTTCCCAGGTGGCTCAGTGGTAAAGAACCTGCCTACTGATGCAGGAGACTCAGGAGATGCAGATTTGATCCCTGAGTTGGAAAAATTCCTAGGAGTAGGAAATAGCAACCCACTCCAGTATTCTTGCCTGGAAAATCCCATGGACAGAGAAGCCTGGTGGGTCATAGTCCATAGGGTCACAAAGAGTCGGACACGGCTGAGTGAATGAACATGGAGTAGTTTTTAAGAGATTGTACAGGCTCTTGAAACTAAAGATGTTGAGCACTGTTACTTTGAGGGGCCTAGCTGACTCACCTACTGGGACAGCCTAACACTGAGCTCTCCCAGTGCAGTGGGTCCATCCGCAGCACCAGGAGGGGATAGTTTTCTGACTCCACTTTTACTAGACAACAGCTTCAAACCAACCAGAGAGAAAGGATTTGTAGTTCACAGAAAGGATGCTCAAGTCTCCATACAAACTTACTACTAAACATCTCTATTGCAACAGTATATGTCCCAAGCGAACATGGGCTTTCAAAATCCTTTCTCTTGTTGCTACGTAGCAATTCTCATTGCTCTGTGCAGTCCCTTAAATTTGCATTCTGCAAAGCATTCATGTACATTAATGTCAGGATATTAGGTGCCATTTCCACATCTGACATTTCTCCAGTGCAATTAAAATGAACAATATGCACATGAAGAAGCTCAGGTACATGTAAAATTTGTGAATTTCCTCCATTTGCTTAAGTCTAGAGATGGTGCTCAGAGAAGGCAATGGCAACCCCACTCCAGTACTCTTGCCTGGAAAATCCCATGGACAGAGAAGCCTGGTGGGCTGCGGTCCATGGGATCGCGAAGAGTCAGACACGACTGAGAGTTTTCACTTTCACACATTGGAGAAGGAAATGGCAACCCACTCCTGTGTTCTTGCCTGGAGAATCCCAGGGACGGGGGAGCCTGGTGGGCTGCTGTCTATGGGGTCGCACAGAGTCGGACACGACTGAAGCGACTCAGCAGCAGCAGCAGCAGAGATGGTGCTATG